GATTTTTGAAGCTTTTTTGACGAGCTACACGCTGTTAATAAAATTTTTTTTTTTTAAATAACATTTGACCTTGAAATTCAAGGTCAAAATGTTAATTTACGTTTATCTCAAAATCGGATTTTTTAAAATTATTTTTAACTATCTCAATGGAAAGCTTGACTAATTTCCTACAAAACATGTAATTTTCAGAGTGGGATCTTTTAATGTTTTTGAGATATTAATTAATTAATTAATTAATGTTTATAACAAATGAAATATTTTACAAACGAATAAAGTTACCGTAATTCTGAAGTTAGTAATTGAAAGTTAACGTAATTCCGCATCCAACGAGCCCTATATGAAGTATTTTGGATAAGTAGGTTGTTAATAAACAATTAGTTAACATTGCAATTGTTTATTAACAATCTACTTATCCAAAATGCTTCATATAGGGCTCGTTGGATGCGGAATTACCTTAACTTTCAATTGGTAAGTTCAGCATTACCATAACTTTATTTGTTTGTAAGATATTTCATTTTTTATTGTTATTTAACTAAAATTGAACAAAAATACTTCATATAGGGCTTTTGGATACTTGTTGTTAGTAATAAATAAAATATTTTACAAACAAATAAAGTTATGGTAATGCTGAACTTACCAATTGAAAGTTAAGGTAATTCCGCATCCAACGAGCCCTATATGAAGCATTTTGGATAAGTAGATTGTTAATAAACAATTGCAATGTTAACTAATTGTTTATTAACAACCTACTTATCCAAAATACTTCATATAGGGCTCGTTGGATGCGGAATTACGTTAACTTTCAATTACTAACTTCAGAATTACGGTAACTTTATTCGTTTGTAAAATATATCATTTGTTATAAACATTAATTAATTAATTAATTAATATCTCAAAAACATTAAAAGATCCCACTCTGAAAATTACATGTTTTGTAGGAAATTAGTCAAGCTTTCCATTGAGATAGTTAAAAATAATTTTAAAAAATCCGATTTTGAGATAAACGTAAATTAACATTTTGACCTTGAATTTCAAGGTCAAATGTTATTTAAAAAAAAAAAATTTTATTAACAGCGTGTAGCTCGTCAAAAAAGCTTCAAAAATCATTATATATATGTTAACTTTTATGCATTCTACTTTTAAATATTGTACATTGAAAAAAAATTTTTTTTTCAAAAGTCAAAAATTAAAAACGTTGTAATTTAGAAACTGTTTTATTAAATTCAATAATAATTGATTTTTAGACTTTCACCAACAATAACAACATTTTAGAAAAGTATGGATTAAATTCGAGAACTTTTAATTTTTTGTTCGGACATTTCAGGAATTTTGCCTCATATATATTAAATTACATTTTTCATCAGAAATCCGCTAAAAGTTTATCATGTATATTATTTTTTATGATCATTATACAGGAAATATTAATATCATTATTGTTTTGTCACATGTTAACACGTGCTTTAATCATCCTAATTCATTGTAATCGTCCGGGCGAGACCCTGATGTTATCTCACCCCTCTGTTTAATCTTCCTTATCAGCGATTACGATGGAAAAACCAGACGCTCACTTTATACAGTAAAACAATCCAAGTCGTGGTACGAGTTATGAATTTAAATTGAATGCAATTTAGGTGTGCGTGACTATCTGATTGGAGCATTCATTGTCAAAAGCCAATGTAGGTCCTTAGGGGAGGTTTCGAATTGGGGAACTGATTCTGATTCATTTCTTAGCCCTTCCTATATACATTGTTCAATATAACATAAAATATGTTAAAATAAACACATCATACATATAATTTACAAACTACTACTATATACACTACGATTAATTACTACCAATTATTGGTGTTTCCTAAATTTTTTATGCTATTTTGGTATTTTGAAAATTATCATCAAATCAGTAATAATCAACGACCGTAAAAACCCTGAGGAATTAATTTCAGTTCAAAAATTTTAATTTGCTATTTTCAATTTTTCAAACTCTTTAAATCTGAATTAGTTACTTTTTACTTATTGAATTGCGCCGATTTGTTAATTAATTAAATTAGTAACCGTTTTGACTAATTTTTAATCAAAAATTTCTTATTGATAGTAGAAAGCTACTAATTCATTTATTAAAGTTTACTGATTGAAATAGTATAGGCTTAGTAAATGAATTAATAATTTTCTACTATCAATTAGTCATTTTTGACTAAGAATTCGTCAAAACATTTACTAATGCATTTAACGAACGAATCGGCACAATTCAATTAGTTAAAAGTGACTATATTTATGATTAATAATCCCAACAAACCCTTAAATATAAAGTTTCAGAAAAAATCTGTCTTTAGATTTTAGGGACCCCCAAGAATCCATCTTCATAGAAAAACATTTTTTTGAGTACAAATCTGCTTGTGATTAGAGGATTCCTCTTTTATGAAAAAAAAATAAATTCTAAAATTGAGAATATATCTTTGGCACTTATTAAAACATTTAAGTTTCTGAAAAATTCGAGAACTCGATACCTATATATTATATACACATTAAGAAAATTAAAACCGATCCAATTTGACTCAATTGTTTGAATTTTTTTTTTCCTAATAAAAATAACTCTTAAACATTTTTAATGGATTATAAGGAATAATGAGACTTTTAACCCCATAACAATTCTAGTTATTTTTTAGTGCATATTTGATCCTCGAAGATGATATAAACCCGCGTGTAATAATAGACAAACGCCATATCGACTCGTGGGGGGTAGTATTTTAAATGCCAATGATTTCATGTGTCCCTTGGGGAATCTAGGGTTTTGCGAGGGACTATATAGACCCTTCAACTCTTCTAACACCTTCAGTCGACAACGATCTTCACGAAAATAACAATCTAAAGTGTGAAAATCCCTTCTAGTTCTCAAACAGTCATCTTTCCTCTAAAATATCACAAAGAAAGTTTTAGTTACTATAATCAGTTTTTACAAAAAAAAAATCAATTTTAATTGATTACAAAATTTATTTTTAACATTCAAAAATTTTTTAAATTTTAAATTCAATTAATTAATGTTTCATTAGATATTAACGATTAATGTGAAAAATAATTTATAAAAATTTTATTTCAAATTAAACTGCAGAAAATTGTGAAAGTAATTTTAATAATAAACATATTATATTAATTCAAAATAGTGTCAACAATTATTATTTTGTTATTTTTGGTAAATTAAACAACTTTAAAATTCGAATTATTTTTTTATTTTATTGATTTTTTACCAAACTTTTTTTTATAAACGTAAATAGAAAAATTGTGAGAATGAAAAAGTGCTAATGAAAATATTGATAAAAATATAATAAAAAAAAGGAAATCTCTCACGCGAATAGAATCGAGATATAAATGATCCTTGTGAAATTGATTTGCAGTGGAAGAGGCAGTGAAAGTAGCCTTCAAAATTGAAGCAGCATTCGAATCACTGGCTAAAAGAGTCGATATTGAATACTATAAACTATCTTTTTAACTTCTGCTCATAAAAAATCAAGGTTGCCTAGATTTTTGAAACTCTCGTGTCGCCTCGTGTCCTTGTTGACACATTTTATTTCTCCCAAAACGACACCAGTACCTATAACATCTTTTCATTCTATTTTTTTAAGTCTCCACGTGAAGAAATGATCGCCATGGACAGCAGTCAGTACCGTAAATATTGTACGTACTATTTCCGAAAATGCGAAAAATATTTATGTTATATTTAATTTTAAAAAATTAAATTAAATAATATTTTAGAACAGTTAAATGCAATTTATTCTCTTTAGAATATTTTTCCCTTACAATAAGAAAATTTTTCAAATTTACAACATGCTAATTTAAAAATAAATTGCATTAAAATATTCTAAAATTAATACCAAAGATATATTCTCAATTTTAGAATTTTTCCCCCTGCATCATTATGTATATATCTGAAAATATTTGTCAAACCCAGAAATTGTCAGATAAAGAGTTTTAAAAAAATGTATATATTCTTTTTCGATTAATTATACAATTCAGACTTTATATTAATGCATCTTCTTTCAAAGAAAACTAAAAATTTTTATTACAAATAAAAAAAAAACACATAAAAGTCTATCATCAAGGTTTTGGTTTTATTATATACATATCTGAATTTTTTCTGGCTTTTATGTTAAAAAAAAGTCCTTATTATTGCGCGGCAACTATATATGTATATATGGGGAATTAGACTGGACTTTAATCTCGAAAACCCGTCGATTCAGGTATAATATTCTTAAGCATCGCATCGCATAATGCAATAAGCGATGGTACAGACCTTGATGCGCTTATCTAAACCAGAGGTAATAAATTGATGCAGTCAATCTCGTAAGCGGTCGTTTTTCTTGAATTTTATTTCTCCTCTTTTTTTCAAGGAAGAAATCTTTCGACTTTTATAATTTCAATATGTATACGTCAATATATATTATTATTATTATTATTATTATTATTATTATTATTATTAATCAGTGAAAGAATAATTGTATTCATTTATTGAAAAATTCTGAGAAAATTATTTCTTTTTTAATTACTCCAACTTGATAATTAATATTCAAGCGGGGGGTCATTAAAAAATGTTACTCAATATATATATATAGATGTACATTTTACTTCACTTTCGTTTTCGTCAAACTAAGATTACAACCTTCGAATTATAATAAACAAGAATCGAATTTTTTTTTTCATAAATCATTATATCCTTCTTCTTCATCATATATTATCAGATAAACATTAATTATAAACACATATACAATTACATATTTTAATTAAAATTTAATTAAATCGAATGTAGTTTTTTAAATATTATAAAATTCCTGAATATCATAATTATTTAAAATTAGATTATTTTATGATTAATTTAATGCAGTTGAAAATTTGGTGTTAATTGGATTGGCTTTTTTAACAAATTAATAATATATAATTTTCTTTTATTTCAGGGCAACTGCATTCGCCAAATGGCGATAGTGACAACAGTAACGGAAGTCAACGTGCTATTGTAGTGCCTCGTGTCGAAATAGAGCAACAACATCGCCAAAGACAACAAAGACAAGTTTCCGCCCCAGAGAGCGTTCCCGCATTAGTTTCGACTAATCATTCTTCATCGACAACAACCACAACCGCCTTCACCGTCGCGTCAAGTATGCTTCTTTTGCAGACACAGGTATATATTATTTATTCTTATAACATTTTCATATATAATTTTTAAGAAAAAAATATAATTTCAAATTTTTTGGTATAGAACCGGTATTGAATAATTTATTTAAATTATATAAATTCGTAGTATAAAATATTAATTTCAATAATAATACAAAGCATATTTTTCTCAAGACTATAATAAAATTGTAAATTAATCAATTGGCATAATAAACCAAAGTACGTAATAAAAGCGAAATCATAAATATCCAAATTAACTTCTTTCATTTAAATTCATGAAATATGTACCTATATTTTAAAAGATTGAAATTAAACATAAAATTTCGTTTTTCAATAAAAAAAAAAGATGCAATACTTTGACGGAATTTCGTATATGAATTATTTCTTATATATACATATATGATTATTTAATATCCTAAATTTGATGGAATGTATAAACATTAAAGTAAAGAGATTCTAAAAAGCAATAAATTATATATAAAATTTTAAGTGATCTCATCAGATTCTGTTTTAGTTGTTTTCATTTTTTTTTTTTTTTTATCTAAAACGAAAACAAACATTTTTTGAAAAAATAAATTTTTTTTAAATTGCTTAATTAAACAGGAACATTAATCATGATTAAATAGGAATATAATACTAAAATTTTACCGATTAAGAAGTTAAACAGCGATTATTAATATTATTGACACGAAAATATAACCTCAAAATGAAAAGTTTTTATTTTAATTCGAGTTTCTCTTTTTACTCAGTTTTTCCTGAAAAAATATAAGATATTAAAAATTTCTTCAATATAAATCTTTCTTCAGGTTATATGCAATAATCATTTTATTTTGAGGTTATCTTTTCTTTCAAATACATAAAGGATACAAAAAAAATATTATAAATTTTCACAGGATACTTACTAGATTCAGATTTTTTTTGACATGTTTCACGGTTTTTTCACAGAAATTTTCTATTTTATTGATTTCTTTTCCATCTTATCAAAGTAGGTAAATAAACATGTTCCACTACGGTAAACAAACGATAGAGAGAAAAAGAAATAAGATATTTTCACTCTGAATAAAGCTGATTGGTTAAGAAAGTTCCTAATGACCAATCAGAGTCAGTTTTAATAGAAATACGTGAGTTATTCTTAATGCGATTATAGATAAACAGTAATTAAAAATGTATTATCAACATTCGTGGAACATAATGAGAATTAAGTTTTGTTAAATTGTCGATTAAGGTCACTTTGACCTAGTTTTAAGGGTTGAATTTCTCAGCGCAGTTTGTTACATTATTGCAATAAAAGAAGCTCACAAAACACTTCCAATTCCTATAAAGTTTCTTGTTTTTTTTTTCTCGAATCATGCAGAAACTATGTATTCTTTTTCCACCTCGTGAGAAATACGTGGACGTAAATATTGGCTGTTGCGCAGTAAAGTTGCAATGTTTACTAACAATCGGCTGATTGCAATAGAGAAAAAAAAAGAAGCAACAATCCCGCGCCGGAATCCGCACTTTGTCGAGAGTCGTTATAGACTGCACCTCTCACCCTGAACATCGAATCTTTGTATCTGTCTTTTTCTCTATCACTTCTCGACATCCTAAGAATCAGTAATTCAGTATATTTAATTCCTCTCCTATATACCGCGAGTACGCGACATCTGCATACCAACCTACGCTACCCGGATCCTCGTGATGTCCTATAACCTGTTTCTAAACTTCTGTTATAATGCAATCACTAATTAAGTACAATGGCGAATTCCGCGCATACGCTTCTCATTCTCATAATATATTCTTATATATTTGTACTTGCAATAACGGCTCAATGAAAATTCAATCGTGACACAATGGGAAAATATATAAATATGTACTCGTCGGGACGATCGATATATTATGAGAGAATCTTTCACAAAAACACCTTCCTCGTCGCTTCTTATACTAGTCACGGTTCAGGAAGTTTAGTCCAGGGATTCCCCGAGGAACGATTAGCAAAATGTCAACCAACAGCGGAACCGCTGCCACAAATTGAATACTTACCCTCTTTCCCCTTCCGTTCTCGTCATCATTGTTTTTCCTTTTATTTTTTCTTCATATAAGAAGCTTATAAATTTTTTTCGCAAATTTTTAATTTTTCGTTTATAATGAAATTAAAATTAATTTCAATTAGATTAGCTCTTTCCCCTATTTTTGAAATATTAAATTAACAAGTAATGATGATAATTTTGACAAGAAAAATACATTTAAATTTACCAAAAAATTTAATTTAACGGTATACAAGACAGTGCGTCTAATTTAGAACAAATGAAACTTAATTAAAAGTCTAGAATTTTTAAACCGGTTTAAATCAAACGCACGAATTAATTATAAATTTATCCTTATAAACTGTAATTAGTTTTTTAAAATTTTGTCAAAAAATGTAATTTTAGAAATCACATTACTGAAAAAAAGAAAAATATTGAAGAAGATAATTTAAAGAAACGCTTTTCAAAGATAAAAAAAAACTTTGGAAAGAAACATACAAAAATGTAAAAGTTAAAACGATTTTGAAATCAATGAGAAAAAAAATTTGGAGCTAAGAAGATAAAAACAGTGGTAAATGTAAATACAGTTTATAAAGATGTTAATAATTTATTAAAAATAAATTGCAATGCGAACGGATATATTAATTAATCTTGTATAGAATTAAAAAATGAGTATTAATTATTTTTGCAGAGTCCATTTGGATGTAGTAGTTTTTCGGATTTGTTAAGCGGCACTTACACTGACTCCACGGATGCTGGAAGTCTACCGGAAGAACTCGATCCTTTTCCGGAACTGCAACTAGGCAATCCACAGGACGTTACAAGCTCCGAGGAAGCGCCCTCGCAAAATCACCACTCAGTCCATTCTCAACCACCTCCACTTCCAGGAGACGTTCAAGCTGATTCACTCAGGTAATTATTTCATTTCACTATTTTCTTTTTCTTAAATTATCAATAAAACAGTAATATCCCATTATATTAGTAGACAAAAATCCCAAACATGAACAAATTCAAAATTTCGAATTATTAAATTAATTAATTTAAAAAAAACAATGCAGAATAAGTCTGATAAATTTTTTTAATATTTGCAGTCCAACGCCACTTCCCAGCTTTCAAGAAACCTACACAGTTCAAAGATATCGTCAAGAATTGCAGAGTTTGGGAATCAAGATGGATGATGATTGTTATGGAGAAGGTGTTTACCCCTGTACAGGAGCCTCGTTTACTTCTGATTTTACTCAGGCTGTTCCCTACCAAAATCATCATAACCAACATCAGCCACATCATCCGCCACAAACTCAGCAACATCATCAACAACATCATTCTCAACAAAATCACCTGCATCAACCACAGCAGACACATCATCAACATCATCATCATCATCATCATCATCATTTGGGTTTTTTCTCAACGGAATCAGCTCCAACGCCTGCGGCTGTTCCAAATCCAACGAATCATCAAGAATCACCTTACGCGTCAGTACCTATTGTTTATGGACCTCCTCCAAGTGTCACCAGCAGTGTTGCCTCACCGGGTGCAGTAACACCAAGTGATCTCCGTACTGCTGTTGGTAGCACTGTCGTCATTCCTGGAACACCTCGACCTCGACGTGCCTCCTTACCACCTCAAAGATCTGAATCATCAAGGTGAATTTCACTGCTTTCCTATATTTTGTAAATCATTTACTTTTTATTTATTTAATAATTAATTCAATTGTCAATTCTATTTATATTCTATTAAAAGTTTTTCTACAATATTAATCAAATTATATTAAATTAATTCAATTATCAAGAAAGAAATTTTGATTAAAAAAGAATTTTTAGTTTTGTATCTAAATAAAATTTTCTACTAAATGAAGTTTTTAAATTTCCATAAAATTAAATTTTTTATTTAAAACTATAAAGGGAAGGGACCGGCAAAATTTCAACCCAACAAAATTAATGTCGTTTAGGTGATATCAAGTTTTTTCTTGACAATATTTTTAAAAATTATAATACAATTTGAAAAAATAAAAAAAACTTTCTAAATAATTTTAAAAATAAAACTCGAAATTTCCGAAAAAATGTTTAAAAAAATTGTTATTCCTAAATAAGGTATCAATTTTTATTGGTAGTCAATGTTAATGGTGATTCTTTTTAAATTAAACTTTTTACATAATTCTTATTTTTTTTTGTTTGTAATTTTTTATATTTTTTTCGTGATTCTGAACAATCAATGGTAGGGATATTGAAAAATTTTAATTTAAAAAAAATTTCTAAAACTGGCAAAATAATTTTTTTTTCAATTTTACTAATTATATTTTAAATAATGACAGAAAAAAAATTAACACTCCTAAACAACATTAATTTTGATAGGTTAAAATTTCACTAGTCCTTGCCCTTAATTTTGATGAGACGCATGAATAAGTCCTACAATTTATTTGTTCGAATTTTCATTTGATAGAATTTTTTTCAGTCCAATTTTCCTTTTTTCGAATTATTTTTTTTATTAATTATATTAAATAATTTCCATTTAATCGATTTTTCATAATTATTGGAAAATTTTTAGTTAACCGAACTTTCATTTAACAGAATTTTGAAATTTTAAAATTCGAACATTTTCATTTCACCGAATTTTAATTAAATTGATTTTTTATTTATACGAATTGTCATTTTGAATATAATTTCTAAAACCCCGAATTTTTATTTGAGCGAACTAATATCCGACAATAATATTTCAACACGAATTTAAAAATTAACAAAATCAAAAATTATCAAGAAAATTATTGATGAATTTTTAAATTCGCGCCGAAATCTTTCTTTCGGATATTTGTTCGGACAAAAGAAAATTAGGTGTTTTAAAAATTATTTCCATAGACAATTAGTGCAAATAAAAATTGTAATAAATGAAAATTTGGTGAAATTCAAATTCTATCTTATAAAAATCCATATAAATTCTTTTTTTTTTTTTGAAAATTTAAGCAGATAAAAATTCAAAATTTATTCGTGCGTCTAATTAAAGAAAAAAATTGTAAAATAAAAATGAAAACAAAATTTTCTTTACTTACAAGTGTCTGTCGATTTTATAGCAGTAGCGAATCACCCAAATTGAGATGTAGTGGAGCAAGTTCAACGACTGGTTCACCATCTCCTGGAGGTGAACGAGCACCGCCAAGTCCAAGTCAGTTGTGTGCAGTTTGTGGTGACACTGCAGCCTGTCAACATTACGGAGTTCGAACGTGCGAAGGGTGCAAAGGATTTTTCAAAAGGACAGTACAGAAAGGTTCTAAATACGTTTGTCTTGCCGAAAAGGCGTGTCCTGTAGATAAGCGTCGACGAAATCGATGTCAATTTTGTCGCTTTCAAAAGTGCCTCTTGGTTGGCATGGTCAAGGAGGTGAATACTTTTATTTTTAAATTGAAAATTTAATTTCATTTGAATTTAAAATTAAACTCAAATATTAGAAGAATTTTTTCTCAAGTAATTTATCATCTCGAATTCTTTTTTTCCGCAGATATTCAAAATTTATAAATTTATAAAATATTATTATTAATTTATATAAACATTTATTTGCCTTACTTTAAATGACAAAACTAATTATCTGGAATGTCCTTAGGTTGTGAGAACGGACTCTTTGAAAGGAAGACGAGGTCGACTGCCTTCGAAACCAAAATCTCCCCAGGAATCACCACCGAGTCCTCCAGTTACTCTGATAACGGCACTTGTTCGTGCCCACGTTGACACCACACCAGATCTCGCAAATCTCGACTTTTCTCAATGTCGCGAAATTTCTCCCGGTGAACCGCCACTCTCGGAAGCAGAGAAAACCCAACAATTCTACAATCTCTTAACATCGTCAGTGGACGTTATCAGAAACTTTGCTGACAAAATTCCCGGATTCATGGACCTAACACCAGAAGATCAAGTCAGTAATATTTTCATTTTATTGTTGATTCAAGTAGAAAAAAATTGGTTCTTCAAAAAATATCTTTCAAATAGTTCGTACGCGTTACAATTTTATATAGAAAATTAAATATTTTTTAATGATGTAAAGACTTGACTAACATTTTAATTGACCTGTCTAAAAATTAGTTATTTCAATTATGGAAGTTTCTAAATTTCTTTCTTTAAATAAATAAATATTAAATTCATTAATTTTGATTATTTATTGAGTTGAAGGGAAATTACGGTCTAGAAGTCAATTTTTTTTCAAAATTTTAAGAATTATTTCAGAACTAACTTTAGTGGTATTGGGTTTTACTTATAACACATTAATACACTTTTAAACTTTACTAAAAAAAATATTTTATCAAAAATGGTGTCCACAATTGCGACTGTTGCAAGTGTCGAAAATTGAAAAATAAAATTATTTCATGTAAATTATAGTGATGATTATAGCCGGAACTAAAATTATCATTTTATATAAAAATTTGACAAAATGATAGTTATTTAAGTCTGATACAACATTGAAAAAATGATTCTTTAAACATTCTAGACCGTGATGTCACTCCCTTAAGTAATAATAAGTGTTTTATAAAAATTCATGTTTTCTATGAATTCAATAGGTATTAATAATTAAATAAGCTATGCATTGAAACAGTTAATCTACACACTATTAATTCGTTGATTTTGATAACCTGGTCTTACATGTGAGGATCGATAGCTCGTGCATTTTCTAAAAGGTCACTCTTGACGAACTTCAAACGGTTTCGACTTGACGACACAGACTATTCGCTCAACGTATATTGGAATAGCATATACCCCGAGTGTAATACACTTTTTCTAACTCTTCTTCACGAGTCACGAACACCGTCAAAGACATACTCCACAATTTAATTCTCAATCTTAATATAATTAAATTTATTATTAATTTTTATTTTTTTTTTTTTATTTTTAATTATTAATACGTAAATTTTAAATTAACACGTGTAATAATTTCATTTTATCTTGTGCTGAAAATAAAATAAATGAAAACATCATTTATGTTATATCGATTAAGAAACAGTCATTTTACGATTGATCATTTTGACTAAAAAATAATTTATTTCCTATTTAGAAGAATTAATTCAATTTAAAAAAACCTCCCATTTTATTTATTATCTAACTATTACTAAATTTGTAAATATTTTCAGTTTACTCAAATTTTGAAATGGTCCATTTTAGTCGAAAGTTTTATTTTATATAATTATGTATTCAAATATTGATATTTATTTAATTTTATTCTTTCAAAATAGTTGTACCATTAATTTTTATATTTTCTTTCTGCATTGATCCCAATTTTAAAAAATCAATTAAGTTATCAATTAGGATCATAGGAATCTTGTAAGGATAAAATTATGACAAAACTGTTTGATTTAAAAAAAAAGTAATTAAGTAATTAAATAAATATTCCAAAATATAACAATTTTTAAAAAATTGTAAAGAATAGAAAATTAATCATGTCACATTATTCAAGAATTTAAATTAGTTTTATTTCAACAATTTTATTCTTTTTACAAAGTTCATACAAAAATCACAACTTTTTTCCTTTTTTATTTTAATATATTTATTTTTAATTTAATTTAAATTCAATTAATTTTTATAAAATTGTCTTTGTTAATTTATTATTTGATTGATTGATTTCATAAAATAATAACAATAAATATATTTATTAATATCTAAAATTATTGTTGAGTACTTTGTACCAAAGGGCTTCAAGTGTAATTCCTAATAAATAAATAAATATGTATTTTTAATTGTTAATTACTTAAAATTTTAAACTTGAAGAAAAACTCAACTTCTCATCGCTTGATACAACAACAAAGTGCGGAGTGACTGAAAGACCATTACGATTATTATGGTTAATGATTATAGACAATTATATAGTGCTTTAAAAATCGTTTCATTTAGTGATTCGAATTTAGTTTTAAAAAATAGAAATTGAGAGAAATCGAGCGCTTTTGCTATTAGTTTAGTTGTGCGTTATTTATATACAATTTATTCACAAGTTTCTTAAAAAAAAGTTTGTGTTGCGGATTTGAAATTTTTTTATATGTAAAGGTGTTTGCGAGCAACCGAATAAACAATATTGTAGTTACGGGCATCACAGTTTAATGAAATGAAAATTTTAAAATTAAATTAAATTTTTAAAATTTTAAAATAAATTCACATTAAATTAATCTTTGATTAAATATTTAAATTTTTTGATGCAAATAAACAAAGTTTTTGTCAAAAAATTAATTTTACAGCATTAAATTTGTCCTCTTTTTACCAAATTAGTAAAAAAAAAAAACTTTTTTACAAAATAAAGAATTAAATGTCTTTTAAATAAAGAGAAAATTTATTTATTCTTGAAATTAAAAATTAAATTTTATTGAAAATACAATTTTTATATTTATATTTACTAGTAGACATTAGTTTTTACTGTTTTATTTAAAAACGTTTCATATTATTTGTTGAAAACAATTTGTTCTTTCCTAAATTTAATTTCTGATCTAAGATTTCATAGAAAAATATTATTCTATTTTCATATAAATTTAATCATTTTATTGAAAAATTAAAAAAATTCTTATTTTTAAAAATGAGAAAATATTTTTTAATGAGAAAAAAGAGGGTATAAGGAAAAGACTGTGAAGCCTGTAAAAGATAATGATAAAAAGTTTATAACGAAGTGTGAAAACACATGAAATAGTAATTGTAAATCGTTTTCTGTATTTTTTACAGAAATTCCTCTTCCTCAATGCCAGCCTGGAACTTTTTGTACTGAGGCTGGCGTACCGCACAAAAGTAGATGACACCCGACTGACTTTTTGCAACGGAGTAGTCCTCACACGTGAGCAATGCGAACAAAGTTTCGGCGACTGGCTTCAAGGAATCATGGACTTTTGTCAAAGTCTTCATGTCCTCGACGTTGATATCAGCGCCTTTGCCTGCCTTTGCGCCCTCGCGCTCGTTACTGGTTAGTCAAAATCAATTTTAAATGCGAAACTCTTAAAAGTAGAAGACACTGTTTTTTTCTTTAATAATTAACAATCTTTGTAGCTTGTTATTTTTTGTCAAAAAAAAAAAAAAAAAAAAAAAGAAAAGAAAAGAAAAGAAATCTGAAGAAATATATTTTAAAGATTTCTTTTCTACTTTTTTTTGTACAAAAAATACTACATATAGCTACAAATGGCTGTTTATAACATATACACATATATTATTATCCCTCCAATTTAGTTGAATAATCTTCAAATTATTTCGTGTTGTTAAAATATTCATCACATTTCGGCATTGATAGAATATGTGTAGACAGACACACACACTTGCAATTCGGTTTCTCTCGGACCGTTCGATAATTAATTGACCGCCGGTTATTTATTGAAGACGTGCATTACGAAACCGCAACGTCCGACGGCAATCGTTGTTTCAACACGCGATATCGATGCTTTCGTCAATTGAAGGATCCGTCGAGAATTAAATCTACAGAAAGAAAGTTATATGGGAGAAAAATGATGAATCTTGCATGGCTATATGCAATCACCTTCATATGAATTTCAAAGCAATTCCGCACTCGCACAAGCTTCTTCGACTATTGTCTTAAACTTTCTAATCAGAAAACTATTTATATATTTCTTTTTTTTTAACAAAAATAATTATATTCACATTTTTCTTCTAATCTATTTGCAAATATTTTTCGATTTTTGAAAAGAAAATATTTTTTTAAATATTGTATTATACAATTTTTTGTTTATCAAAATTTAAATCTTTATAATTTTGCAGTCGCTTCAAATGATTATATATTTTTTTCTTTCATTAATTGAGCTTCTTAAAATCTAAATTTTTTCATAAAATTAGAAATTCATTCTGACCTTCATTTCTGAAATTATATGTTTGAAATTTCGGTTTTTTTATTCTATTAATTTCATTGTTAAATTTTTTTAATTTTCAAATAATGTTATTATATTATAAAAATTTTCAAAAATAAAATGTAATATTTTCAAGAAAAATTTAAATAAATTTAATAAAATATTTTAAGTTTAGTAAATTAAATATTTTTTCAAAAGAATCTGAGATGATTGAAAGTAATAAAAATAAAAGTAGGTGAAGGTGAGTGGATTGAAAGATAGAGCAAAATCATAGACACGCATAAAGTATTCAATAAAGATGCATTATATAAATAAATATGTTTTTTTAACAATAAAATTATCTTATTGAAATATGTAATTTTAATTAATTAATTTAATACTTAATTGGGAAGATATAATAGACATGAAACTTAATTTATTATAAACAATTAAAAATTTGTAAAAAAAATAGCTAAGATATGTATTTGAAATTTTTAATTTTAATATTACAACATTTAAAATAACAAATATTAATTGAAATCATTTTTATATTTTACAGAAAGACATGGTCTTCGAGAACCGCAGAAAGTAGAACAACTTCAAATGAAGATAATCTCATCCCTGCGAGATCACGTCACTTACAACGCAGAAGCCCAACGAAAAACTCACTATCTATCTCGACTACTGGGTAAACTTCCAGAACTTCGAAGTTTATCCGTGCAAGGTCATCAGAGAATTTTCTATTTGAAGTTGTTGGACATCGTACACGCACCCTCATTCATTGAAGAAATGTTCATGGCCACCCTGCCTTTTTGAACAATTTTTTTTAAGGACACATTTTCATTCTCCCAGTAAACCATTTTACTGGTTTAATAATTGAGTTTGCTTTGTAATTTTTTTTTTATTTTTGAAAGCAAAAGAACATTCTTTTCCATATAGATTCTTATTTTCGGTGTTTTTGGTCCCTTTGTGTTATATGTTCGCCTCGTTTTTTTTATAATTTAACTCCTGGACGACATTGCGCGCGACATTGCAGGAACCTTTTTTTTAAAATGCGAGGACAGTGTTAATAAACGAAAGAAATCCTAATTATAAATAATAATAATACATGTATAGAAAGAAAGAAAAAAAGACCAAGAATGTATGACAAGAATGAATGATTTAAAGACCGATTGAATGAAAAAAGTGAAATTGAGAAAAGAAGTGCTCTTCGAGAATGGTGCTTCGAATCATTAGGGTTGAGATTGATTAATACTTATTTGTTTATATAAACTAGGGAAAAAGCTGATATAATATATATACCATGAAAGTGCTTATTGTTTAGAAAAGATTATATCGCACGGTATTTGTGTGAATCCGTGTTTATAATAGTTAGGGATGTGCCCGGATATCCGGGAGGCTGTTTTTTTTATATATAACAATTTTTAGTAATTTTCTCATTATTTCGTGACAAGTTACCAGAATATTCTTACGAATTTTGTTACATACTACATTCTTTTTTGTTTTGTTAGGAATTAAAAAATTTTAAGGATTCTAGATTGTAATGCAGCTTTTTCAAGTTCCATTTATGTATTTGTAATTTTTCACCGAGTTTGTAATATATACTAATTTAACAAAAGTGTCGGTTACGAAGACTCGGCCGGATATTCATCCATCCCTAGCGATGACTCCCTTATTTTCGGTTTAATTGATTTCAGAATTTGCGCCGCAATACAAAGAACTTGAATCAAAGAATTTGAAATTTGATTCCAGCTCTTTTGTAATACCCCATATGTTATATATAGTTTTAAAGAAGTCACAAAGAAAATTAAAAGAAAAATTAAATACTCTGTCTGAAATTATGCTCCTGTTGTCGAATCAGTCATTTTTTAATTGTGAAGAGCGATCGAAGAAACTTTCGAAAAAGGATAAAAATTCGTAAAAGCCCTTGATCAAGATATATCGACGCTCAAAGCTGTGGCTAATTCTAGTTACGAGATATTGTGATAATTATGTTAAATATTTGATCATTATTATTCCTTGACTGAGATACATATCGTGAAATGAAAAAAAAAAAAAGAAAATTGCAAATCGACAACCGATAGCATAATTACAGATTTCTGTGACAAATTCGACATATCAGAGTGGAGAAGCGATGATGGAAATTCAAAGTCGCAATTTCCCTCCTTTTTCTAAAAGTAGCCTATATAGGACGTGATTCTCGCACGTTTCGTCCACTGCACTGTATAAATCTTGCCTGATGTAAAGTTTAAATAATCGTGAAAAGACAATTGGCGTTGAAATTTTTAAACGAAAACGAAATATTTTTCATTCTAGTTTTCTACTTCACTAATCCGTAAATAGAATGTAAGCTTCTAAAAATAAATTTATAGTCGAGTTTGTCTATCATATTTCCAACATCCCAGTTAATGGGGATGTTCGCGTATATAGGTAAAAAAAAAAAAAAAATTAAAAAGAAGCTTCAATTTTAGAAAACCGTTTCTATATTTTTTTAAGCTCTCGGAGACCCTAATCTTTTTGAAATAGCGTCGAGCTTATCAGCCAAGTCGAGCACTTTCACACCGTGTGTGAGAAAATTGCGAGTCTTACTATATATAAATATATTATATAATATATGTATTTAAGAAATATATTATATCCGTCGGGGGTCGTTATTTGCGTGCGAGAATCCTAAGATCGAAAGGTCAAAATTTATCGTTGACCATATCGACTAGATACTCTTACGTTTATGTGATTTTAGACTATTAAGAAGAGATGAAAACGGTCTCGTCTCAGCAGCCGAATATATTATGTTTGTACTAAAGCTACAATAATCGAGGAAAAAAATATTATTCATATTATGTATATCTATATTTTGGACTGACTGAGACGATTCCGATATAAAGTTACCTATTATGTTTATGAAATTATTTTTAATCAAACTAACGTAGAAAAAACCTATTTATACGTATATCCATAATATTATTACACAATACTACAATAATACTTCTACCGTTACTGTAACTATGTCTATTGCGACTTCCGTCGTTACTGTTATACTACTGCTGTTATTACTGATACTGCGCAACCACCGTCACAAAACTGACAATTAGGCTGTTTCAAAAAATTAGTTCTAGCTTTGAATCAGAGAGCCAGAAAAGTTATTTAACTTTTCTTTTGGCCCTAACAATATGAAATTTCAATGTGATAAAATATTTATTTTAACGTCAAAATAACTTTTGGTATTAAAGGGTCACATTGTAGTACATTTTCGTTTCTAAATTTAAGTTTTGAGTCAAAAATAATTGTAGGTACTTAAAAAATATATAGTTTTTAATATAAAAACAAAAATTTTATAAATTAAAAAATTGTTTAAAAAAAATTTTTTTTTCCAATTAATACAAAAAATATTACAAATTGAACTTAAAATTTTTGTATCTAATTGAAGTGATGAAAACATATAAATGTTTTCATCATAAATGAAAACATTTATATGTCTTCATCACGTCAATTATGAGATAAAAATTTTATATAAAAAAATTATATAAAAATTTATATATGTATTTATATATATTAATTATTATTTAGGAAATTGAGTAAAATAAAAATATTTAAATAGAAACTTAAAAAAAGGCCCTTAAAGAATTTTGGATTAAATTTTTTTTATTTAAAAATTGTTTGCTCTTTGATCAAAGTGAATTTTTTTTCGAAACAACCTTATTAATGTTGCAAAAAATTCTACAGTTAATCATAAAAAAAACTGTCTTAAACGTAATCAGCACTCGATAGAGATTTTTCACAGTCAACAATTCTATACATTTTCCATGAGAAACACATTCCCTATATGGACAAAATTTATTGAGTCAGTGATCTAGAAAATGTTTTCTCGTATATTAATTCACAAAACTTTTCATTCAAATTCTATATATATATATATAATAATTGAATTTAAAAAAAATTGAAATTTTTTAATTTCAAAACAGAGGCAGCTGTTTTCCTATATAAAATAGAGCAAATATTTTAATATAAAATATGTATATATATTTTTGAATGTAATTTAAAAAAAAAATTGCATGATATGTATATTACTATAATATAAAGATGATTTAATATAATATTTTATCGGGGTTGTTGCAGATATCGAAACAAATGAAAAAATACAGATGTTTATTTTTTGTTAAAAACAGTAAAATTTTAAATTCAATTTTTTTTTCTTTCAAATTTTTTGTTTGTTAAAATTTCAATATTTTTTAAATCAAATTTTAATTTTTTAATTGTTAATAATTGTGGGAAAGTTGTTGAAAGTTTATTTTTGACTCAAAGAAAAATGTAGATTTCTCAAAGATTTCTATTTTATTTTTTATTGTATTAAAATTGATGTTATTTATAAATTTGCATACAAGAAAATTTGTTTATAATTTTAAAAATAGATGAAGAACAATTTTTTTGGATTGAAAACAAATTTTAGTTTTAAAAATAAGGAATATTTATTCAGTATAGAATTTGATAAAAAAAATTTTGCAGTAATCCTGTATATATGTTATATGTATAAATATTTTAATGTATAAATGATGGGAATTTAAATGACTATACTACCTCTTTAGTGTATAAGTCAGTGTGCAATCGTTAAATTGTTAATGAAATTTATGAATTTTCGATAATCCCTCTGATTGTGATTCTTCTTAAGTGTTTTTCAAAATTTGAAAAATAATAATTTTTCTTACGTAATTTTTTCAATCACTTTAAATAAATTTATCGAGATCACTGACTCTAATATATCTTGAATCTCTTTCATGTGCTGTCAAGTGATCACAATAGCCTTCGGTATGTAAAAATAAGTAAGCAGATATGGAGTTCTCTTAAAACACATATCTACGTACTTAAAATTCGTGTACATGCACAATAGTTATATATATATATAAATAAATATTAATATATGTGTCATGATTCCTAAACATGTATAAGTGTAAATTTGGCAATACCTGTAAAACAACAAATTTTCTGTTTTTCTCAGGAAATATCTTTTTAATTCTTGTTCAGTTATAAGTAATCAAGAAAATCAGCCTTACATTTTAAATGATATTTTAAAAACAATTATTTTTTCATGTTATATAAATTAATTAAATAGATTTTGATATAAAAATTTTTAAAAGTATATTTTTGAATAAAAATTCAAATCTACTTTTTAGTTTTATATCAATATTTTTGTTTCAACATTTTATTTATCATATAGTTTATTTTTGAAAGAAGAACAAATTTTTGGCTTATTTTCTAATAATTATAATCTCTTTAATCGAACCAGAATTAAAAAAGAGTTTTTTTTGCATTTTTCTATTATATCATTCATTTTTTATGCTGCTTTTCACACAAAAATTTTGTATTCGTTTATACTCGTTCAACAAATCTTTTAAAGATTTATTTAAGTGATAATAAGAGATTCAGAAATTCGTGTAGGTCATTTTATATAAGTTGACTGACGATTCTTCTCCCGGCTTTTATCTATATAAATTATAAGATTGCCATCTCTTAAACTTTATAATTTTGTCTCGCGAGGTATTAAATAAAGAACAAAGTTATAATATAAAAATGCGTGTTTTATTATTTATTTATAATAAACAAAAATTCTTATTCTCTTTTATTTTTTCATGATTGGATGTGTGTGGGTTATATTCACATCTTTTTTTATTATTTTTGTCTGAGAAAAATTAAAAATTTTTTTTAAGATTAGAAAATGTTTTTATTTTTCCAACTAAGGTAATTTTATAATTTCTTTAAAAAGTTTCAATATTCCATATATATTTTCTATTTCCTTTTATTTTTTTTTTATATATTTAAAAAAATATTAAGTATTGTTGTTGATTCAAATTTTCCGGGCTTTCTAACAGCTGTTCGGTGGCGCCTCAAGTGGCAAAATATGGAAACACTTTCCTATAGTGAGCCGGTAAATTAGATAACATTGTTATCATTATAGCAAAACAGATGAAAAAGATGGCGTTTCAAACTGTTGAATTTGCTCATGAGTGTTCTTCGGGAGTTTCTCAGCGTGGCGGGCGTTTTATGCGAAAAATAGTTCCAAACGTGCTCACAAATCATTGGAAGATTTGAATAGTTGTCAGAAATTTGAACAATTTCTACTAATTTATCTAATTAAAAAATTCTCTGATATAAACTAATAATTTTTCGATTGATTAGCTTTCATTTGGGTGATAGTTTTTCGTTTTACGTTTGTCCTTCAATTTGGCGCTGTCTCAAAGCATTTTCAAGTTGCCCTTGGTTGCCAACGAACGATATATCCCTACGCGGCACGCGACGACCGGGGAAGGAAGTCAGTAGGAAGTGGGAAGGGGGTACACCTCGAGTAGTTCAGTGGCTACATGTGGGCATCTGCCGGTCGCGACGAGTCCATTAACGTATTGTAATACGCATAAAATTACACTTTTTACACCGAGTGCCAAGGGCTTTTAATTGACAAAAAAATGCAGATGGATTCGACAACTTTGCAATTGATTCAGGTCCTCGAAAAGACTGTTTCGCCAGGTAAGACCTTGCTTCGACATCGCGTCGAGATAACCCGATCACGATGCATGAATTTTTACATTTAATCTTGCATTAATTCTTAATTTTCTGGAAAATACTTATATTTTTCCTCCTTCCATCATTCATTGTGTCTTGATTTTTATCATTTTTTGCGATATTTTGAAAAATATCATTTCACGGCCATGATCAATCTCTTCCCGCTTAACTAACGCTTCGTCTCGCTGACATGAAGTTTGCTGTTGCGTCAATCTTTTCCCTCTTATCGCTAAATACTTGACGGAAACTGATATTTCAATAATTTCAGTACATGATTGCAATTTACGCAGAGAATATCATCCGAAAAATTGACTGTTGCTAAGGGCTCACTCTTAAACAGTAAAACTATTGACAGCCCTCCATTCTGTACTTTTCGACATACACCCTCGCCGGCATTGAAAAATCACCGCGTGCATGTTTCACGTTTAACCTATAAATTGCTTTATTTCAATTTCTTCATCCTGCTTTGAGATTAATATGAATCTTGTGAAAAAAATACTTGCTACAAATACAATGATAGACCATTCATGGTATATAAATTAGAATCTGAGAGAAAGAGTTGGAAGTTCAATTATGAATCCCGTCTGTTTGAGATGCAATTCCTAATATCTCAGAAGAAAAATAGTTTCATTTTTCCACATATGCTTCTAAAAGATTGATAAAATTGCATATTACTATTTTAAATATACAATATTTTATTTTTTACAAGGCAATAAAAATTGTAAATATTCCAAGTCTTTTAACGGACATTTTTACGAGAAATATTATTGATTCTCAAACTAATCTTCTTTGAAATGAAATTAAGCACTTGTAAATGTAAAAATAAATTTGTAAACATGAAATACTTTGAAAACGTAAAAAAAAGTTTACTTTATATATATATATATATTTTAATTTGATGATAAATTTAATATAAAATTGTATTAAAAATATACAGCATATTTTTTTTTATAAAACTCAAATATTTAAATTTACTATTTAGAATAAGATGAAAACATTTTAAATTATATATTTATTTCATTATTTTTTCACAAATTAATGTTTTAAATTTTGAATCGTTTGATTAATTAGTTTTAATTGCGAGAATAGATTTAATAATTTTTCAACAGCAATTTTTAGAAAACGTAGAATTTAAAAAAAAAATCAATTTTTTTGACGTTGTAAACATAAAGTGAAAGAAGAATGAATATTGTTATTATATATTAGTAAGATTTAAATTTTTTTCCTCCATTTTTTCTAGATAAAAATGAACTTGAAGCAGCACAAAGTTTTCTGGAACAAGCAGCTGTTACGAATTTCGTGAGTTTAAAAATTTGAATATCAAATATCTTGTAATGAAAAATGTATTTTAAAAATGTTTTTATTTTTTTTACAGAATGAATTCGTTCAACGGCTTAGCGGCGTGCTCGTTACACCTGCTGCAAGTGCTGTTGCACGAATGGCAGCAGGTTTACAACTTAAAAATCAATTGACGTCAAAAGATTTGACTCGTAAATCTCAATATCAGCAACGATGGCTCGCCATCCCCGCAGATAAAAGGGAATTTATCAAAACCAACGTAAGTGAAAAATTACCTGCGTCCTAATTTTTTTTCTGAAAATTATGCTTGAATAATTTTGTTTGGTTTTTTTTTAAATAGATTTTAGGAGCACTTGGAACAGAAAACAATAGGCCAAGTTCAGCGGCTCAGTGCATTGCTTATGTTGCTGTTGCTGAACTTCCAGTTAGAGAATGGAACGATCTTATTCCATATCTGGTTGAGAATGTGACAAAATTAAATAGCACAGAAATGGTGAAGGAGGCGACACTAGAGACCATCGGTTATATTTGTCAAGAAATTGAAAGCGAAGTGCTTATAGCGCAATCGAACCAAATATTGACAGCTATTATTCATGGAATGAAGAGTTCCAACACATCGAATCATGTACGACTTGCGGCAACGAGAGCACTTTTTAATTCTCTCGAGTTTACCAAAGGAAATTTTGAAATAGAGGTTCGTTTCTTTCCATTTATCATTCATGATATTTTATTTTTTTTAATCAGATTGATTACTTACATTTAAATTTTTATATTACAGACTGAAAGAAATTTTATCATGGAAGTAGTATGTGATGCTACTCTATCCCCAAATACACAAGTCAGAGTTGCTGCGTTACAATGTCTTGTTAAGATTATGTCTTTGTACTACCACTACATGGAACCGTATATGAGTGTTGCTCTCTTTCCCGTAAGTATTTCAAAAAGAACATATTTTCAACATATAATAATAATATATCTGAATATATTTTTTTAAAAAATGTTCATGTTGCCTGAAAGCAACACTTGTCCTCAAAGGATTAAAAAAAAAATGTACGAACTGAATATCTTTTGAAAGTAATTAACTTTTTTGCAAACGACATAAATTTTTTTGTCTATGTTTAACATAATTTAAAAAAAAAACTAAATATTTTTTAAAACTAATAAAATTATTAATATTGTTATTATGAATAAAATCATTAAAGATACAAGGTTTTGTTGCGATATGACAGGTTTTTATATCGCGCTAACTCATATTGCACTCTCAATTTAAAGATAATATAAATATAATATAACGTCAAAGTCAAAAAACAAAATCGAGGTTCTTCATAACAGAAATTGCGATCAGTAAAGAATTTGATCCTCAAGAGGAAACTTTGTCTTTTTGATCGTTCTGAAGTACAACACAAGTCAATTAAATTATAAGTTTAATTATATATATTATAAGTTTTAATAAAAAAAAAATTGAATTTTTCATTTTTTTTTAATTAAAAGTTGCGTTAAATAAACCTATTAAATTTTATTGAAATTCGTTGAAACGTTTTCAAGTTATCGTGTTCAGAAAAATCTGGAATCCCCACATACAAACACACAACTGGACAATTGATCAGAAATTTATATAGTATATTTTTTTCTGGAGAAAAGTTTATTTAACACATTTAAAAAAAAAAAAATATTTCGAACGATGACAAGGTTTTCTTCTGTGGAAATAATAAATGACAAAATTTATTTGTCTTCTAAAAATCAAATATCATCATATTTAAAAAATACGATATTTATATTGAAGGACAGGGTTTTAAGATTTATCAAACTAGTAGTTTGTGTTATTTAGATATTTATGCAAAAAGTTAAAATTCCATAAAAATATATTATTTAAATAAATTTAAGCTATTAGAAATGATATCAAATGCTTTTATTGCTGCGCGCTTGAGTTAGTGTCTGTGCTTTAATTACTTTCACGCGGCCTATTTTTTATAATTAATTTAATTAATGCGCATCTGTAAAGTCAAACTTGTAGCAATAAACTTATTTGATATTATTTTTAATTTCTAAATTTTGATCCAATAGGTAGGTACTTAATCTATTTTTATATAAATATCACGATTCACGAACCACTGCTACATGGTTTCTACAAAACCTGAAAAATCTAGAATTTCATTTTGATTCATCAAATCATGTAAATTTTACGGAATTGAATTTGTAAAGTTCAATTTTTGTCTGTAAATTTTAATAAATTCTTCAGCAACAGAAATCATCAAAAATTTCAATTACAAATCACTTGAAATTCAATTATTTTCAAAAATCTCAATTGAAAATCTTTGAAAACTTATTTTACTTTTAAAAAATTATTATCTAAAAATATTTGATAAATTATTTTCAATTGTTTGAAGTTTAACAAAATCTGTTGAAATTCAATTATTTCTAAAGATTTCAACTCTTCCAAAATCCAATTATTTAAAAAAAATTTTAATATTTCTTTAAAAATCTAATTATTTAAAAAAGTTTCAAATAAAAACTCAAAAACTGAATTGTCCTTAAAAAAAATTTAATTTAAAAATCTGTAAAATTTAATTTTTTTGAAGTTTTTTTTAACCATTAAGGGTCAGTTTCACCAACTCCGGCTTATTAAACTAAATGCTTATGTTATTTATATATTTAAAAAAATGTTTAACTTTATAAAAATCGATTATTTAAACAAATATGAGAAATTAAAACTAATACTGTAAAAATTTAATTAATAATTATTTAAATATCCATCTTTACCAGTAATTGTATCAAAAAGAGATTTAAATAATTTTTTTGAATCATTTTTGACTAAAACGACTTTTTTTGTGTCTTAAAGTCGATTCGAAGCCTGAAAATGTACGAAGCTGAAGTACGCAACGTTTATGATAAACGATTTTTAAAGAAACAGTTTTTTAAAATGAAAATTTTTATAATTTTTTGCCTAAAAAATATTTTTTTATAATTTGTTGATTAATGAAAACTACAAGAAATATTTTTTAAGCAAAAAATTATAGAATTTTTCATTTTAAAAAATTATTTCTTTAAAAATCGTTTATCATAAACGTTGCGTACTTCAGCTTCGTGAAAATGTAGTATATTAAATAAAAAATATGAAGGAAATTAAACTGAAATTTGAAAATAATTGTTCTCATATCTATATTTTTTCTTTTACGAGCAGATAACCTTGGAGGCAATGAAATCCGATATTGATGAAGTATCGCTTCAAGGAATTGAATTCTGGTCGAACATATCCGAGGAAGAAGTAGACTTGTCAATGGAGGAAGGAGAGGCGAATGAGGTGGGACAACCTCCAGCTAAGGTTTCCAAGCATTATGCAAAGGGTGCTTTGCAATATTTGGTACCAGTGCTTATGGAAAAATTAACAAAACAAGAGGAATGCGACGACGAAGACGATTGGAATCCATCAAAATCAGCCGGAGTCTGTTTAATGCTATTAGCTTCTTGCTGCGAAGAAGCTATTGTACCACACGTTCTTCCATTCATAAAAGATAACATAAAAAATCCAGATTGGCGATATCGAGATGCAGCTCTTATGACCTTTGGATCAATTCTTGGTGGTCTTGAGTCCACTACTCTGAAGCCACTCACCGAGCAAGCAATGCCAACATTAATAGAATTGATGTACGATAACAGTGTGGTCGTGAGGGACACAGCCGCGTGGACCTTTGGTAGAATTTGTGAAGTCATTCCAGATGCAGCGATCAACCAAACGTATCTAAAACCTCTGCTAGAGTCATTTGTAAACGGACTCAAGGCCGAGCCTAGAGTGGCCGCAAATGTCTGCTGGGCTTTCTCAGGACTCGCGGAGGCAAGTTATGAAGCTGCTGAAACAGCGGAAGAAACTGGAACACCCGAAACTTACTGTATGTCTCAATATTTTGACTATATTATTCAAAGACTTTTGGAGACCACAGATCGTCCAGATGGAGCACAGGCTAATCTCAGGTCAGCCGCTTATGAAGCGCTCATGGAAATGGTGAAAAATTCTCCACGCGATTGTTATGTCACTGTACAGAAAACAACAATGGTGATCCTCGAAAGATTGCAGCAGGTTCTGCAAATGGAAACGCATATTCAGAATCATTCTGATCGTGCTCAGTACAACGATTTACAGTCACTATTGTGCGCAACTCTACAATCAGTCTTGAGGAAAGTCAGTCCCGATGATGCACCGCAAATTTCAGACCCCATCATGGGAGCCCTTTTGTCGATGTTCAATTCCAATTCTTGCAAATCGGGCAGCGTTCAGGAAGACGCACTGATGGCTGTGTCGACTTTAGTCGAAGTCCTTGGCGATGGTTTCCTCAAATACATGGACGCTTTTAAACCATTCCTATTCCTTGGCCTCAAGAATTACTCCGAGTATCAGGTGTGCTGTGCGGCCGTCGGTGTCACTGGTGACATTTGTCGTGCTGTCAAGAGTAAAATGATACCCTATTGCGACGAGATTATGACATTACTTTTGGAGAATCTTGGAAACAACACTGTTCATCGATCAGTCAAGCCACAAATTCTCTCAGTCTTTGGCGATATTGCCTTCAGTATTGGACAGGAATTCAAAAAGTATCTGGAAGTTGTACTGCAGACATTGGCTCAAGCCTCTCAGGCTCAAGTTGACAAGAACGATTATGATATGATTGATTATCTAAATGAGTTGAGAGAAGGAGTCGTGGAGGCTTACACTGGCATTCTTCAAGGATTGCGGGGAGAAGATGAGAGTAACATTAGTCCTGATATTATGTTGCTTGAGCCACACGTGCCATTCATTATACACTTCATTACAACAATAGCCCAGGATGTCGATCATTCGGATGGTAATATTGCCGCTGCGTGTGGTCTTATCGGTGATCTTATCAGGGTTTATGGAACCAAAATGTTGCCAATGGTTGAAACTGAAGCCATTACTGCATTGCTGACCAAAGGTAAAAAATCTCGCACCAGTAAAACGAAAACCCTTTCACTTTGGGCCACCAAAGAAATCCGCAGAGTGAAGAACGTCGCAAGCGCTACATCTAGTTGGTAAGTTTTTCAACAATCACAATTTTTACTTTTCCACTTATTTTTTCCCATTTATTCATACTCTTACATTCAGACGATAAATGATGTCACGCAAAATCATTTTTAACCATGTCAGACTTGATTTTTTTTTAAAACAAAAAAAAACGACTTTTCCTCAAAACTATGTTTGGAATTGGAAATTACCTCTTTCAGACCTGAATTAATTTTAACAACAAACCTTTTTTTTATACTATACATTCAATTTGTTCAAAAAAAATTAACTTTTGAAATAATAAATTGTTTTTTTTAATAATATAAAAATATAATTAACATTTAAAGTAAGTGAAAAGGTAACACCACTTTAGAATACAATTTTTTTTCTTTTGTGTTCTTTTTCTAATCTACGTCAGAGCTTATTTAGAACAGCGCTTTCGATAATCGGTTAAGAAGGAATCAGATAGATAGTCAAATCAAAAATATTTTCTTATTTTTAAATAAAATAGTGATTAAATAATTAAAAACTATTTTAGAGAAAATTTAAACAATTTTATTTTTCACACTTTGAACCATTAAAAGAAGTTGCCACTGGATGAAGAATAAAAATTTCTTAGAATAAGAAACAATTCCTGTTCAAAATAGCAAAAATAAAATTGTTTTCATTTTCACTAAGACATTTTTTAATTATTAATCACTGTTTGATTTAAAAATAAGAAAATATGAAATTGGACTGTCCACCCCATTCCTTCTTAAATTCAAGTTTACCACAAGTCAGGGTAAACTGAACAAATTAACGTCGGTGAAGTTCACAACGTTTATGATCAACGATTGAGAAAAAAAATTATTATTTTTGATCTAAAAAAAATTTTACAACGTTTCTTGATCAATATTTTTTTGAAAAAAAATTGTAGGCAAAAAATTAGTTAGTATTTTTTGAGAGAAAAATGTTTTTTTTTCAATCGTTGATCATAAACGTTGTAAACTTCACCGACGTACAAATTACATATTAAAATTTTACTATCTTTAAATAATCCAAATAAATTCATTAATCAGGGAAATATCAAGAAATTTTGAAATGAAATTTTTTTAGAAATCCTGCCAATTTTAATAAAAGAAAAAAAATTGCGCCCTATTTTTTATCTATGGAGTTACTTATTTTTAAAGCTCTGAACTATAATTTAAGCAAAAACTAAAAAACGATTTTAAAAAAAATTCTTTAGTGGTGTTACCTCTTAAAAATGTATTATTTTAAATTTTATCGCATTCTCTTTAAATTCTCTCTACTTATATGATTGGAAATTTTTTTTTTTTACACAAGTTATCGTCTGATTGTAAAATTATATATTTTTTTCTCTTTGGTAAGTGAACTTTATCAGGTATATCGCCGTTTGTTATCGCATGAAGAACGTGACATTTATATAAGCGTCGCAGATAATTAAACGGGAGACTCGGTAACAATGCGACATAGGAGAACAAAGGTTGGTTAGGTCGGTTAAGTATTGAATGCACTTCCTCCTTCCAAAATAAATAAATGAGACACTATGAGATTGCAAAGAATTGAGTTGAGAAAGAAAGTATTGAAACGTGAGTTAGCATGACAGAGGGAGGTTGAATTAGGGGGAAAGAAAGAGTGAAAGAAACGAGTGTGTTGAAAGTAAAGCAAAAAAAACTACGAGGGTTGGGCTTCAAAAAACGGGTAAATTTTCAAAGGAAATCTGATTTCTAGCAAAGGAAGAAAGAGAAAATCGATTTAAAAAATTAAATGGCTTTCAATTTTATATAAATTTTAACAATTTTATAATTTTAATTCATTTAAATTTAAATATTAAATTTCGATACTCATTAATCAATAAAAATATAAATCCGAATTTTGCAACGATTGAAATGAAAGAATACAATGCTTTTAATTAAAATAAAATTATTAATCTGAATGGATTGTTCATGGCTATTAAAAAAAATGGTTTACGTTTAAGAAATACAGTTCGGCTTGATTTAGTTGTGAATTGTTAAATTCTACAGAAGCAAATTATTTTGTAGCTTATTAAGCTAGTTGTCTAGCGACAGTCTTTACAAAAAGTTAATACTGAAAATCTCTTGTCTTTTGCAAAAGAAGATATTCTCGAACATAGTTTTGGGACTAACGTGAAAATTTCAGTTAATAATTAAAAAATTTATTTCAATTTAAATAATGCAAATTTTTTTTAGACATTTTCGATAATCATCAAAAGCGATATGTACCAATCAGTACAATATAAAACGTGAATTTAAAAAAATCAATTCAAATTAAATAATGAATTACCTAGTTCACTGAATTTTCATTTGATGAAATTTATAATAAATTGAATTTCCATTCCATAATTTTTATATTTAATCAAATTTCTACTTATCCGAATTTTTATTTATAAATTTTTTATTATAAACGAATTTACACTTAGCAGAATTCTTATTAAAAAAATTGCTATTTAGATCAATTCATTTTCCGGACGCCTTAAATTTTTTTTTTAATTCCCCTTTTTTTATGAAAAATAGAGTTGATATTAAAGTTATATTAGTTGATATGAAAAAATGTTAAGTTTAAAATAATTTAAATTTATTTTTGTTCATTTTATTTAATTTTAGAAAATCAAATCTTGAGAGTTTTTCCCTCAAAAACTTTACTGAAATTCTAATTAACGTGCAATAATATAATTTCCATAAGTCATACTCGATAAAATTTTTTTAAAAAAAAGTTCATAATTCCCCCCCCCCTCCCCCTTATTAAATAAAAATTTAATGAACTGAAGAATCTATCATTGAAAAATTTGTATTAGATACATTTTTTTATATTTATGAAATGTTTTCATTTTCATATTTATTTGATTATTTTTATATCATTGAATAAAATAAATGAAAATTCTTTTTAAGAACAATTAAAATCAAACATTGTAACTTTTTTAATGTAAAGAGAACCGGGAAATTGGTCCATCAAAAATAGTAGACACCTTAATCTACTGAGGTAAGTTTGAATTTCCAAAAATTAGCACTAAGTTTTCAGTATTATGTAAAATTGTTTATAAATGTGAAAATTTGCAGGTTTACTGTCTTAAAAGTATGTGTGGTAAATACCTGCTGCATTGTAAAATAATTTTTAAAAAAAAAATTTTTTTTCCTAAGAATATAAAAAAACTAAATTTTGGTAAAACATTTAGTTTCAAAGATTAGATATAGGAAAAAATTGTTTATATCTCAGTCGAAATAATAGAATATATAAAATATTCTTACAAATAAATTTTAGTTTTCAATTTTTAAAATTTTGAGATGATATAAGTATAGAGTTGAACTGTATAGATTTAAACGTAAAAAGTTCTTTTTTATATTATTAATCTTTCGAAATAATTCACTTCTTTTGAAGTCATTTTTCTAAAAGTTGAAAAATAAACTTACATTCTACATTATTGGTTTTCAAAATTTAAATATTTCCTTATTGGTGAAGGGTATTTGTATTTAAAAAATATATTATTTTATTTAAAAAAAAGAAGAATGTTGATATAATTCTTAAAAATGAAAGTCCAAGTACAACGAAAAATTTCTTGAAAAAAAAATTAAAGACGGTTAATGTTAATTGGCCCGCTTTTATTGTTTACAGATCACCCCACAGTTGTACTGTCATGCGATTTGATTTGACTAGAAAGCTATCGAACACAATGCAAAGACAACAAGATTGGATGGTGCGGATGCGAGTTGATGGATGTGCGTGAGTTCCAAAAGCGATGACAATGAAATGATGAGTCTGCACGTGTCCCCTGGCGACGATGTTTAGTGAGCCGGTGGTATGATGGGCAGCCCCATAGTCAAAAAAAAAAAAAAAAAAAAAAAAAGCAAAAAAAAAAAAAAAAACACCTGCCCGCCGGATCTGTCGACTGCCGTGGATGACGAAGAGTGCAAGTGGATGTTGCCGATGAATGAACCAAAAACGCAGCTTTGTCAAAGTCCTTTTAAAATGGAAGTATGTTTGAAGTCGAGACTGCGTCTTCTAACTGCGTGTCTGATGATAATATCCATTGTAATCAATGGAATAAAAACTCCAATGGCCGATGAATCACGTGATAAAAAAATAAATCTTCTGAAAGGAAGAGAGAATGATGAGAGCCAAAGCACACGCGTGTGTACGATGAATGTGAGTCGTTACAAATGAAAGTGAGAACGACTGAATATTATGAAAGAATGATGAAAATATTGTGTGTTTGTGTGATGTGTAAGTGAGCAACAATGTTTAAGAGTGAGAGCTTTTGTAGTGTTTAAAAAAAAACTTCGAATGAGGACATTTAGTAACAAACGCACTTGAAATATCGACGCTCATTAAACGAAATTTTATACAGGGTTCATATTTGACCCCTAATGTCTTTTATACAAAAAAGTGATGATCAATCTAGATAAATTGAATAGTGCGTTTGTTACTGCACAAGTGAGAAGAATAAGTAAATGATGAGTGAGAATAGATGAAAATTAAGTAAAGATGAAAAGTGAGAATAGATGAATATTAAGAATAAAAAAAAAACAAAACAAGAACCTTGCGTTCGACATCTTTTTAGTGAGAATAGGAACGCGAAGTTTTCGTTGTAATTATATTGCGCGATGATTGTTTATGATGAAGATGATGATCTGTATGTTAATTTTTTCCGTATGTGAATGTCCGTTACTGTTGGTTGAATTTAAACGATTATTTTGCTCGCATGTGTTATTGAAAGAGAGAGAGAGAGAGAGAAAGAGAGAAAGAGATGTATTTAAAACCTCGTCCAAGCTTTCTTTGCAGTTGTTGAGCAAGCTGCTCAGAGTTCATTATTCAGACAAATTATTTTTTATTAAAAAAAGCGAAGTCATATCTTTTAAGTTTTTGATGAGTAAGTTTCTATGAAATTTTCTAATGAAAGTTTTTTTTTCTGTTTATAAGCGATTGCGCGTGATGAATAATTTTTAATAATTCGCTTTAAGTTTTCTATTTTTTTTTTTTTTTTTTTTTTTTTTTAAATTTACATTGGCCACTATAATCCAATGCGTTTAAGAATAATTTCAATAAATCAAGTTACAAAAATCATTCCAAATCAGAAGCGGAAATTCGATTGCGGAACTTTGACTGTGTTTTCCTTTTTTCCTTCTTCTACATTCGCTATTGTGTTGAAGTTTAACTGAAAACAAAACTGTAAGACAAGTCAGTCTATTGTGCGGAAAGAAAATGGACATTAAATTTCTTTTTTGGATCATCAAATGGCCTTTTAATAATTTTCTTTTTTAAAATGATCGCGATTTTTTGCTTTTCATTTATTTCGTAAATATATTGATAATTTTAATTTCGGAATATTCATCCACATGCCTCTCTTCCTAAAGTAACAGATATGTAATAAGTACCTGTTTAAATACGTTCCGATTTAATCGTAAGTTGCATATTGCTCATTGAAATGTAGAAAGAAAAAAATAACCAGTTTGCGATGATGATGCATTCCAAAGAGTCCTGCCAAGATATTTTTGCTACAAAAATTCATTCTATATTAAAATTTTTATTTTTTGACAGTTGTAAAGCAGTATTGTAGTTTTCTTGTGTGTTTTTTTTTATTATTACCAAAAAGTACAAATCTGATTATTTGCAATTCTTGAGCAGGACCTATAATTTTGTTTAATTATTACAAGTTTCTTTTCTTAATTAATAATACACTCTGGAAAATAAATCTCTAATGGCTTTTTTAATAAAAATAATGACATACATTTTTTATACAATTCATAAGATTTATTGCAAGTCTCACAAATATTATAATTATTATTATTATTCACTGATTTAGTTTGCAATTTGAAAATTTATTTTTGTAATATAAAAAATTACAAAAATTATAGAATATAATAAACTTGAACGAGATTTAGAAAAATTTTTTGACAAATTTAACGTGACATTATTTTAATTGATATTATCAAGCACTAGAAATTTTTTTTCCCTATGTGGTTAAAATTTTAACGATTCTAGAGCAAAAAATCGAAATTCAAATAACCTTTATACCTCGTACCTACTGAAAATCTTATTTTCTTAAGAAGGCACTAGTCAATTATTTTATTTCAAAAAAAATTTTCAATTTTTCTTAAACTCTTAAATGAGAGGCTGATAGTAAAAATGATTTAAAATATCATTGGGAGCAAAAGTGGGATAAGTGACTTGGGAGCAAAAACGGGTTAAAATGATTCGTGTAATTTATTGATAAATTCATTATATTATCGATTAAAAAATATTAATTATAATAAAATATGCATTTTTTCCTATTTTTAATATTTTTTAGTCGATAATATAATGAATTTATCAATAAATTACACTAATCATTTTAACCCGTTTTTGCTCCCAAGTCACTTATCCCACTTTTGCTCCCAATGTTATTTTAAACCATTTTTACTATCAGTCCCTCAAATAAAAGTGAAAGAGAAATTTACAATGGCCTAATATTAAAATGTGATTCAATCACTTAATTACGAGTTTAGAATTTTTACATTCTCAACAATACGAGAAGGTATTATTTTTATTTTTAGTAATGAATAGAATTTTTTTTTTATTGAAATTCGATCAGCAAATGTATTCAAACTATCAAAATTGTTTGCTGAACTTTTTCAATTAGATATTTTTTTGTTTTTATATTAATATTTATAGCACATTTTTGCATTCTTATTGATGTCGAGATTTATATTTCATTTCCTTTCCTATTTTTTTTTTGGAAAGTAACAATCTATTGGGTACTTGCTTTAGGTTGACATCTCAAAAAAAAAATCCCAGAGTGCAAGTAAAAATTCTGTGTGTGGCGTTTGAGCATTCGATGAGATTATATATATGAGAGAAAAGGAAAGAATGCCTTTACACTTGGGTACATGTGTTTTTAAAGAAAAAATAAATACAAAAACTGTGTTTAACTAAGCCAATCTCGATGGAACTTTCAGTAATACCGTTTAGTATACATGTACGATTCAATTTTATCGAGAACAATTTTGCTTTCTTGTATATATACTTTTTTTTTTTTTTTTAAATATTATGCGACCAAGTTTCTTTGCAACGAAAGTAGATAAAATCTTCTATAAATTTTCAAGTGAAATTGTGTTTTTAAAAAATAGTTACAATCAGAAGACTGGATACAATTTGAAATCATTTGTCAAAAACAAATCAAAATTTACATATATTTGATTTTTAAAAAATTTACTTTATTTATAAACAAAGAGAATTGTTAAAAAATTTCATTCCGAATACAATCCTACATATCTAATCAGAATCGATTATATATTTTTCCCTTTTTTTTATTGAAAGATTCTTCATTTGACAAAAATTCATTTGTTCGTGTTTTTATTTAAGAGTCATTCTCTCAGAAAGTAGAAATAATTTGTTTATAATATTTTTACTTAAAAAAAATAATTAAAATTAATATAAAATTAAAAAAACCATATTCGATAAGATTCATCGTTCTTCTATCAGATCACAGAACCTGGAAATCATGGAAAAGGTATGCAATTTTTAAAAGTTTCTCAAAATCATTAATATCATGAAAAAGAGCCAGGAATTTTTAAAGTTTAAACTATTTTTTAAAATAAAAAAATAGTTTTTGTAAAAAAAACATGTTTTAAATTTAAAATTAATTTTCTAAAAGTAATTATGCAAAAAAGATACCTAAATAAAAAAATAATATTATTTTTTCAATTAGATTTTTAAAAAAATGTCCTATTTACTAGTTGTAAAAAATACCTACATCTAACAAAAAAAATTAACATAATGTTACCGTTAAGGTATCATTTGTTTAAAGTTTTTATTTTATCAGTTATTAAGAAAAAACAGAAAAATGTTTCTAGTTTTTACGTCATCAAAAAAGAGGTACTGAATATAATTAATTACTGAACTGGAAATTTTAAAATAATAATTTATACGACTTGAAAATTAAATTACATTTTTCTGAAATTCGACCTGGGAAACGTAGAAAAGTTCTGGAATTGTAATTACAGATTTCTGTATGAATCCTGAACCAGTAATTTAAGTGTGTTTTTTAATTTTTTTATATGAAGTCTTTTTTCGTAAATTGTACTTTTCTAGAGAATGATCTTTCAATGAATTTTTATTTGTCCAAAATTTTGATTAAATGAATAATCTATCAATTGAAAAGTTAAGAAAAATATAAGCGATCCTCTCATCAGACTTATCAGTTTTTAAATAATAATTTTAATTTAATGCAAGTTGGCTGTGAGTATTTGTAAACTGATTAAACAAAAGAATTTTATTTTATTATCTTAATTGTTAATAAATTTACTATGTATAATAATTTAAATTTTTTTTCTCATTGATGAAATCAAGTTTAATATTGTACTCAAAATTTGAATTTTTGAAAAAGTATCTTGTAGGAAATGAAAAAGTACCGTTTTTTTCTATAACTTTGTTTTACAAAAGAATATTTTAGATAATAATTTTTAAAAAAATTAGAAAATTTTTATTCTCAAATTGCGTTAAGTTTAAAAGAAGAAAACATCAAATTTTCAACAAAAATTAATGAATTTTATTGAAACTTGGTGTACACACGTATTTGGGTCCAGTGAAGGTGACAATATAATGAAAAAAATAAAAAATCATTAATCCTTTTATATTTTTTAAAATTGAAAATAGAGTTCTGTAGAAAACGTTAAAATTAAAGGAAATTAATTAAGATATTTTATTGATAACAAGTTTTTTGATTTTATTTGAACCAAAAAGAAAAAATGGAAAAACTAAATTTTTATTTTGTTTCATAATACTGTGAATTTCATATATTATTTTAGTAGTTTTTTCAAACTTGAATTAATTGAATAATAAATTCGTATGTCTAAAGTTTATTTTTCGTATTTATTTATAAAAAAAATATTCATATTTAAGTAATAAGAATAATTTCTGGAGTCTTGGTTAAACACAAAAGTGTGTGTGTGTGTGTATGTATGTAAAAGCAATTCTAAAAGCCGGCCAGGTTCGGATGTTAATTAAAAATTAAACGTATAAAATAGTAATTAAAATGAGAAAAGAAAGGACTACGAATTTAATGAAATAAAAATAAAATGACTTTTAAAGTCCAGATATCGTTTTGTTACTGAAAGTTGGATCGTTAGTATTTCATATCCATGTGTATATATATATAAAGTCTGGTGCCAGTATTTTGAATATATGTACATACAAAAAAATATTGAGTTTTTTAAAGCAAGCGAAACATATTCAAAATTTAACGAAAGTTGGCGATAAAAAAACCTATATCGTGAAATATAAAAATATTAAGATCCGATTAAAATCGTCTTTTGAAATTGCATTTCAAAAATGGTGACGAATATAATTGGCTCAAAAAAAAAAGAATTTTATATTTATATATTTAAAAAAAAGTATCAAGAAATCTCAAAGGCCAAAAAAATTGAGAATTTCTTGTATATAATAAAAAAAATATACAATAAGAATCAGGTTTGTAATTTGAAGGACTATTTGGAACCGTGCCAAAATTAAAAAAAGAGGATACGTCGTCGTCCATTGAAAAGCTTCCTCTCTTTTATATATATATATATTTAAAAAAAAAAAAAAATGTTGATAGAATTTGAAAAGTGAGTGTCATCAAAGAATGGCCGGTTTTTAATAAATCACCATGTACTATGGAGTTGAGAGAGATAATATTCTAAAGCATTAATTGCAGAGTGCGTGATCGCAAAAGAAAGATATGTGGCTAAACGATTTTTTTCGTATGGTGGCAAGTTTCATTGTACAGCACCAATCGTTAAAATTGATCCTTAAAATTCAGGTAAATCATTTTTTTCCATTATATCTACAAGAAATTAGATTACAAAAAAAATTCTTCTATTTTGGCTTTTGAAAATTGTATTGGACAAAAATCTTATTTATTTTCAGCTCTTTATTTTTAATTTTCATTTATGGGCTTGACAATAATAAAAAAATGTATCTATTCCTTTCTATAGGTTTAAAAAAAATTCGATGACTGAAATTTTAATTTCCAGGAACTGAACAAACGCACAATTTTTTATTCTACCATGTACGAATGTGAGTAAACCGTCTTTCATTATTTTTTTATTAATGATGATAACAATAACAATTTCTGCTTCTAGGCTATGCTTTACAAAATTTGTGATTGTATACAAGGTGGATTACTAATTAAATACTTTTATTTTTAATTACTTTTTCTGAACAAAATCATCGCAAGATAGCTTGTATTGATTTTTATCTCATTTCAATGTTCATTTTATTCATGTTATTACTAATTAAATTTTTTACAGAAATGATTTTAAAATTTTTTTTTTAAATTTTGATATAATTAACATTATTTAAAAGATTTCATGTCAAGTGACCGAGGTGCAAAAAGTGATTTATTTTACAAAAGTCTTTTTCTTGCAAGCACATCTAGTTATTAGAAAATAATTTATTAAAATTTCTCGAATTACCAAAAAAAAAAAAAAAACCTCGAATTTTTTGATTGTAATTAATGTGCGGTACTGTACAATTAGAATAGAATAATCAGGGAATGACATCCGCTATAGAACAAGCAAAAATGCTAAACCACTTGGAAATTCCAAATCGCACAATTAACAATCAATTATTGGATAATAATAAATAAATATATGAATATTTTTTTCATAGCACAAGCGAAATATTTCCAAGTCCCGTTTAACATTTTAGCAAAAATAAATAAATAAAATGCGTGAATACGAGTGAGAAATAAAGATGAATTTCAGCGAGATAGAGCGATCGAATATGCGTGTAAATGTAACTCTTTTTAATGCGATAAAGAAGAGAACGAGAATTAGAGAGAGAGAGAGAAAGAAAGAGTGTGAAAAAATATGATAATGATGATGATATAAATTAAATAAAAATGAAGCTGAAAGGAGGTTTCACATTGAAACAAAAAATAGTATTGAATCAAGAAAACCTATGTACTTGACCGTATTTTATACCAATATTTTCTTGATCCAAGAAAATTTACTTCAAACTAATAAAAGTTTCTTGAATCAAGAAAATATTGGTATAAAATACGGTCAAGTACATAGGTTTTCTTGATTCAATACTATTTTTTTTCAGTACAATGACTTCCGAATTTGTGTTGAAGAAAACGCGGTATAAATTCCATAATTATTGAGGTGAGCATGTAAATTTCCTGTAAATCAGAATTCGAGTGCATTTTGGCATATATTTTTGAATGCAGGTCCGCGAATTTTTGAGTGCGAATCGCTGAGCGAAAGTGCCATAATTCTTCTACTAGTCTTTTCGTTCAAGAAAATACACACACCGTAAGATGAATTTTTTTTCCTTGAATAGGAGAGCATGCATGTCAACGTCTTTCCGTTCGAATAAAAAAATAAACGAGAAAAGAAAAGAATTAAAGTAAAATCAGTTCTGACGCTTTCGTCAAAAGAATGATCAGCGATCACTGATCACTTCGCTCGAATAAAAATATTTCATTGAAATTCCATAGTATTTTCCTTGTTAATATTCATATCTTTTAAATGTATTCATTTTATTTTTTTCATTTCAATAATTTTGTATTTTTTGTAAATTAAAACTTTTTGTATTTTTATAATTAAGTTATTTACCTTCGTTTTAAAGTACAATTATTTTTGTATTTTGTAATTTAGTTTTTTTCAAATTTAATTTTTATTACTGATGCAAGAATTTTTATTTGTTATAAACGAAAATAATTTTAGTGCTCATTTTGAAAGTTTTGGAATTTGTTATAGAAAAAATTGCTTTAAACAATAATATAATTTTTTTGTTTAATTAAAAATAATGTCAATTTTTTTTGAGCTGAAAGAAAAGAAACATTGTTTGGCGAAAGATTTTGAGTCAACATAATTTTTTCCAAAAAGTTTAAAACTAGAGTTTACAACATTTTTTGAAAATTTAATTTTTATTATATTTTTGTTTGCGTTAAAAACCTTTTTTTAGTTTTAAGTTATATTACTAGTCACCATCCTTAAATTTCATAAAATTTAAAAGATTAATTCTTGTTAAAAAATTATTATATTCTATTTGCAAGAATTTTATTTGACGCAAAAATTAATGTAGCTAAATTGCTATTTATCAGAATTTTCTTTGGATCAAAGTATCTATTGACAAATTAAACTTTTATTTATCTGCCGCAGAATGGTTTTAGTTCGGTGACATAAAAATTAAAAATTTGGTTAAATAAAAATTCTGTCAAGTAGAAATTTGGTAAATTGTAAAGTCGATGTTACATGGGTTTATGTAAAATAAAAATTCAAACAAATAGAATTTTTTGAAGTTTCCGAATGCTTCGAAAAAAGAAGTTTATAAAGTAATATAAAATAAATCCGTTTTTAGAATGAAAAATAGGTGGAAAATTTAAAATTTAATTTTTGCTATAAATTATTTAGTGTTACATGATTCTAATTCTTTTAATCAAGAGAAGGATTTTCTCTGTCTCTAATCTGGAAAAATTAATATTTAAATTTTTCTTTTCATTTCATAAATGGTTATTCTCATTTTTGGGAATAAAAGAGAATATAATTTTTTCATGAATTTTTTTTCAGCACTTTCATTAGATGAACATAGAAAAAAAATTTACGGTTTTATACATTATTTTAAAACAGAAAAAATCTTTTTATTTTTTTTGCCTGTTAAATTTTTGGTAGGCGCTGAATTCAATGTATAAAAAAGTAAAATTCTATCGGTAATTCCACTGCAAGAAATGTGTATTTTTCTCCGTGTTTTGCTTTATATTTACTTATCAAATTGAGCTCCATCTAAAAATTTACAAAAAAAAAAAAATAAAATTTTTTTTCATATTTTGAAAAAATAATGTTTGCTAATTTTTTTCATCAATTGCTTCAACGTCTTTAATTAAATATGAAATAAATTAAAGATTTATGTGAGTAAACTTTTCGAAAAATAAACTTCTTGCATCAGAAAAATGCGACATTGTCGTGCGTCATTGGCGATCGAGCTTGAAATTGTTCCTGTAACATCATGTGTCAGCAGTGTCCCTAATCTCCTTAAAGTACCCTTAACCCAATTGAATTATCTATCCCCTTCTTAGACGCTCGGTTGTCATATCCGTTGCAATGCTGCATTCGCCGCGATTTGTAACATTCGAATAGTGAAATCGACTGCTGATTATTTAGATAAATAAATGAAATTGCAATAAAAAAAATTGATTTGCAAAAGAAGATTTGCATTGGCGGGCAATTATTGGCCCACCTGTTTTTCAGTTTAGTATTTCGTCAATCATCCCTTGGCGATATTATACATATATACTGTTTGTATAGACCGTGAATCGTCATCACGATCCAGAGGATTTTAATAAATCATCACTACACTCAATTTTATTGAGAACTTATAAGGGGGCTAATGCATGTCACGTGACGTTTTTCTAAGGTCTCTCCGAGGTTTCGGTATTGTAAAAACTGCCGAGGACTCCAAATATGCACCCGTCGGATGATGCCCCCTCGCCAGATGGCAAGGAATCTTCTTCGACGGCAGCAGCCGATGATGATGTGAGTATTAAACTTATTGCTATTCATTTACATTTTTCTTTTTATTTTTTTTATTAAAATTTGAATTTTAACAAAATTTCATGAATAAACAATTATTTATTGTATTAAAATGTTTAGAATTAATTGTCAGAATACTAAATTTCAATAAAACAGTTTTTAAGGAATTTTCAATAGAATATTAAATGTACCAATTTTAAATGTCCAGGAAGTTAGCACCGCAAACTATTTTTTTTGAAAAAATAAAACTTGTGCTGAATTGTGCTAGGTTTGTGCTACATTGTGCAGCAAAAATTTTTTTTTTAGTTATTATTTTTTCTAAAAAACTCAAAAATCTTTTATAAGGCCTAAAACTGCAATCTTTAAAAATTGAAAAGTGCTTATTTGTGCTGAGTTCCAATAACATAGCTTAACATTGTGCAGATCCAAATTTTTCAAAATAAAATTTTTAACTTTAGAAAAAAAAATTGAAAATCAACATTTTTTTTTATAAAATTAAAAAAAAATTGTGATTAGTTGTGCTAGCGGAGCACAGTAAAAAAGTCTTCATAAACTTTGGCCTAAAATAATGTTTTCCATGGAAGATCATGATTTATCTAATTAAAAATTTTTTTGATTAACAAAAATGTTTAAAAATGAGAATTTTAAAAAATAAAAAGTTGTGCTGACTTGGGCTCGGTTAGCACAACTTTCGTTTATTTAAAATTCTCATTTTTGAATTTCAAAAAGTGTGATTTTTTATGGAAAATGTACATTTGAGAAAAAACATTATTAAGACTTTTTACTGTGCTCGGTTAGCACAACTGAGCACAACTTTGGTTTATTTAAAATTCTCATTTTTGAAAATTTTTGTTAAAAAAATTTTTTAATTTGAAAAATCATGATTTTTTATGGAAAATATAAATTAAAGGGAAATTTTTATTAAGATATTTTTACTGTGCTTACTGTGTTTACAAATTTCAACATAAAAAGATAAATTATTTTATTATTAAAGTTAAAAATTGAATATTTATTTTGTGTAATTTAAATACTAGACACTGAAAAAAAAATTTTTTTTAATTCTGTTGAATTATTGGAAAAATTTATTTTCAAAAAATTAAATTAACTGGAAATAATTTTTATAATATTCATTAATGGAATTACTAAAATGTTTGGGGAAAATAATGTTTTTAAAAAATTGTATTACTTTCAAAAGATGTGATAAAAATGAATTTGAGTATTTTTAATAGTGTGACAAAAAATAATAGTAGAAGATCGATAAGAAAACGGTTTTTGAAGATAAATCTTGTATCTTAGGATGCTTTTGATCTCGATGACTTGTTACCGGTTGTGGGAGAGTTTGGTCGTTATCAAAAGCAATTACTTTGGCTGGTCTGTTTGCCAGCATGTTTACCCTGTGGCTTTTGTGCCTTTAATCAACTGTTTATGGCAAATACGCCAGACCATTGGTGCAAAGTACCAGGACTTGAAGATCTGGACCCAGCGAAACGAAGACGTCTCGCAATTCCCACCAATCAGGTCTGATAAGAATTGCAAATCAAATTCCCAATTTTGCTAGACCACCTGCTTAACAGGCTTAATTTGGCTATTAAAATATTTTTTTTTCAATTAAATAAAAAATTTTATAAATTACTATTTTCCCTTTTTTCTTACAATCAAGATTTTGATTGCTTTCTTTATAATCTTTATTTATCAGATTTTCTGAGTTGATCAATCAATAAAATTTTTTCTTTAAAACAAAGGAAATTTCACTATTTAAGTTCTAAATGACTTATTTCCATGCTGGAACAAAATGAAATAGAAGATAACATATTTAGATTGTAGATTTCTAAGAAAATTTATTTCTGCTATTCATGCGATTTTACAACCTTGGCCTTAGAAAATGCATAGATTTAACTTCCGCATTTGAATTTCCTATTCCGGAACAAAATTTTGTTACACGTGGCCTTATAGTCAAGATCTGATCGATATTTAAACACTTCGATGCGGATTCACTGCGTGATTAAAGACTATTATTGTCAAAATGCTAAAAATCCTTGTAAGAATTCCATTTCTAATGCTATTCAAATAAAAATTTTATTATTTGTTAATTAGACTAATTTGAACAAAAATTTTAGTTTTGTATAGTTTTTAAAATAAGTAGTTAGCGTTCATTTGTTTTTTTATTCTCTTCTTTCTCCCAGTAATTGCAGTGAAAATTTATGTCAGAATATAATTATGTATTTAATTTTATAAAATTTATTTTTGTAGAATTAATTAATTTTTCATCGTTGTAACAAATACATCGATCAAAATTGTGGGGCCAACCATTTTTTACAGAATTATAAACATCTTTAAACATAAAATATATATAGATACTAAAAATTTTTTCTGTTTATTTCTTAAAAGATCAAATTTTGAGAGGAATAAGACATGTGAGAAGCGATATTTCATTTAGATATTAGTATATAAAAAACTGTCTTTTTACATGCGTTTTATAAAAATTTGAATTACTTCTGAAAGAATCAATTTACAATAGTAATTCTCATTTTGTAGAAAATTACCTTTAAAATAAGCCTTGGAACATAAAAAAGCGTTGATTACTTTAGCATTAATTCAAATTTGTATAAAACATTGAAATTAAATTTTTTTATAATATATCTAAATGAAATAATGGCAAAATCACATCTCGCAAGTTTTATTCTTCTGAAAATTTTTTTATTTTTAATGATCTTTCAAAATGTTAAGAACCTTAAAATTAAAGAACAGTTTTCACAACTTTTATTTTGTTATTTTTACTTCACCATGAATTTGCATTCATATTTTTCAGAAACTTTGCATTTTTAAAAATCTGTCATTTTTCAAGAATGGCATTTCCATCTTTTTTTGAAATTTAAATTTGAAGAATTTAAGGTTCAAAATTGGTTGTAAATAAAAAATTATCTTTTTTTCTTTTGAAAAATATTGATATTTAACAAAAATGTTATTAAGGACATTTTTGTGCACGGCTAGTACTGTTCAGTATAACTTTCAATATTCTTGAGAATTCGAACTTGTTAAATGAAATGAATTAGAATTACTTTTTTACAATTCTTGGTTGAATTTTGATTATTTCAAAGACAAAATTCTTATTTAACTTCAAATTAGATTAGAAATCTATTCATCACAAAAGTTTTAATCTGAGAAAAGATTGTTTGAATTTTGAAAAAGAAATTAACTATTTCATTGTTTTTTTCAAATTCGTTCAATAAAAATACAAATAAGTTACTAAAATAATTGAACATTAAAAAATTGCAAAATCTTAAAATAATTTTATTGTTAATAAATAAGGTGTAAATTAATTTCTTTTAATTTTTAAAAAAATTTGTTGCATTTAAAAAGAAAATGATGATTATTTTAAAAAACGTGGATTTAATTCACAAATTTTAATAGACTTTTATTTGTCTTCTCCATAACTTTCGAAGATAATTAAATAATTAAAAAATGAAATTTACAGAATTTCATTTTTAAATGATAAGCAATATATGTCGATTTGAGCTTATTATGTCCGAGGAAAACTTTTACCTTTCTTGTATCCCCCTTTAGGCTACTTTTATCATGTTAAATAATTGTAGATTTAAAAATTTGTTAGTAAAATAATTTTTTCTCTGCTTTTTTTTGTAATTCTTTGATTAATTTGTGTGTAAATAAAAACAGGATGACAATGCAACATACAGCCAGTGCACAAGGTACGATGTGAATTGGACAGATCCAGCTGTTATTGCGATGGATATTTTAACTCCTAATTCTTCATGGCCTGTAGTTCCATGTGATCATGGCTGGGAATATGACATGTCAGAAGTGTTATCTTCAATCGTCATTGATGTATGTATTCTCACATCATTAAAATCAAAGATATTATTGTATTGATTTCTTTAATTTTTCTTTTTTTTACAGTTTGACTTGGTCTGTGATTATGCAATTTATCCGACTCTTGGTTTGGTTGCTCTCAATACTGGAGGTCCAATTGGTGTCTACCTTTTTGGTACACTAAACGATAGGTAAAATGGAGATTTTATTTAAAATTATTATTCATTTTAATATTTTAATAATTCTTGGTAAAATAATGTAGGGTCAGTTGGGGTAAATGGGGACAAAATCGCTATTTTTCACAAATTACTTTTATGCAGCAGAAAAAAATTTAGGTAAGCTTTAAACTCAGTCCCATTTACCCCAAAATTTAGAAAATTTCATAAAATTTGGAGTAAATGGGGACAGCATAGTTTCTAAGAAAGTTTTCAGAAAAAAGTTACCTTAAGTATATTACTGTATTAAGGGATGAAAAAACTTGAAAAAAATTTGTAGTAGATATATAATAGTTAAACCAATTGAATTTTTTTTTATTTTTTTATTTCTGTATTTTGTCTCGCATTTGAAAAAAACAGACGCCAAAAATTTGAAAACTCAGGGTAAATGGGGACAGTTTGTCATTATTAACCAAATTGACAAAAATCAAAAATTCAAGGGAATTTCTGTTATGGGAGTTATAAGGAATAAGAAAAAAATTTGGTATGATTTTGAAGTCTGTTTTCTTTGAAATGCTCGACAAAATACTGAAACAGGTTGACTTTGATTTTCAAGTTTTTATGCATTGAGCGATAACTTTTTTGTCTTGTTGCCAATTGTCAAGATGAATGCTTGGCAATACTCAGAACCTCTTGCAGGTGATCTGAGGTTAAAATATTGACGTTGAACTTAATTTTAAAACTGTAAATTAAGCTCCAAAACCTCTCGTCCCCATTTACTCCAACTGACCCTACATAAGGTTTTTCTGACTCAAGATTGTATTGTTAAGATAAATTATATGAATTTATTGAATAAAGATGAAATTAACAATTATTTTTTATTAATAGGATAGGACGAAGACTCTCCTTTTTCTCTTGCTTGGCTACTTTGATAGCTGGTGGATTTTTAACATCAATATCTAATAGCTTTTGGACCTGGGCGGCTTGTCGAGTTGTTGTTGGACTTACTATTCCAGCCATTTATCAAATTCCGTTCATAATTTGTAAGAATTACAATTTTATTTTTTATATTATTAAGAAGGCAAATCTATACAAGGAATTTTTTATAATAAAGAATTTCCGAATTCAAAGAAAACTGTGAAATTATTTTTACATTTAAAAATTTTTTTGGGGAAACTGACGATTTTTTTTTGCTTTTTTATTGGAACCTAAAAAAAAAGTTTAATCAGATTTTTACTTTAAAAATTCAAATGAAATCTTTCAAAGCTTGTGAATAAAGGAAAACAGATTCTTTATTTAAAATATTGATAGGTTTGCATTCTTAAAAACTCGAGGACTATCGACAAGAATATTTCATTTCATTTTTAACAATACATAATATTCGATTGCATATTTCTTGACAGTAGTGTTTAACAATTTATTAAATTAATAAATAATTACATTAATTTTTAAAATAGCGTTAGAATTAGTTGGACCCAATTATCGATCTTTCGTCACCGTCATGACCTGCTCTTTCTATACTATGGGTTTATGCATGTTATCTGGTGTAACTTATTTGGTGCGAGACTGGAGAACATTAGCCGTAGTCACCAGTGCACCATTTCTTCTATACTTCTTCTATTGGTGGTCAGTTTTTCCATTTCTTGATCGCTTCATCTTTATTTTTTAAATAAAATTATTTTCATTTTATTTAGTAGTTTTATTTTTTAATTTTTATTTTTACGCATCGGGACATAAAAATTGAACATACTAATTAATTTCCTGATAAAATAACAGGAAGTTTGGTAACGGGAATATAGGTTTCTTCCAGAATCACCACGATGGCTTCTTGCAAAAGGGCGCCTTAGTGAAGCTAATGAAATTCTGAAAACTTTAGCTAAAGTTAATGGAAAGGAACTTCCCGAGTCGTTTACGCAAAAACTTCGACAGAGAATGACAATGACGAGAACAAAAAGTGAAGAAGAAAGACTTCGTAATGGTCCTGGTGTTTTGTCTCTTTTCAAAACTCCAAATATGCGACTGAAGACGTGTCTCATAACTCTAAACTGGTAAATAGATTAAATTTTGAATTTTCAGTCTTCGAAGTACCACACTTTTTTACTCTTGATAATTTTTTTAGGCAGGGCAATTATTTAAAAAAAATTTAAACAATGTCCTTAAAAATTCAATTATTTAAAAAAAATCTCAACTATAATTCTTATATTGTGAAATTAATTTGAAAACAACAATTTCAACTTTAATCCTTAGAATGTTAAATTAAATTGAAAATTTCCAATTAAAGGTTGTTGATTATTCAATTATTTTCAAACTGATGAATTAAAATTAAAAAATTCAATTATTATTTTCAAAAATTTCAAGTTCATCTCATTAAAAAATTTATTATTTTCAAAAGTTACAATTAAAAGTTTTTGATGATTCAATTATTTAAAATAATATCAATCAAAAAAAAAAAAAAAAATTTAATCTTTTGAAAAATTTAATTATTCTTAAAAATTCCAACTAAAATTCTTCCAAAATTTAATTATTTTCAAAAATGTCAATTTAAAATTTTTGAAATTTCAATTACTTTTAAAGAATTGTAAAATTAAACGCTCTCTAATAATTTCAATTGAAATACTCAAAAATCCAATCATTTTCAAAAATTTCAATAAATGTTCTTCAAAAATGCAATGTTTATAAGTAATTACAATTTTAATTTTCTGAAGATTCAATTAAAAATTAAAATTAATTCTGTATATAGCTAAATAATGTTACTACAAGAACAATAATCAAAAGGTCGATTTTAATAGTACATATTGAAATATTTGAAATAAAAAAAAATAGGTTTAAAGTCTTACTTGCACCCTATTTTTTAGTGTTTATTGTTTTCATACAATTCTTACTTACATATTTTTTACTTTAAAATCGAATTTACTTTAAGAATTATACTATTTTGAAACTTTTTTTTTTTAATTCTGGGGATACTTTTCATACTTTTTTATAGTAATCTACTACACTTCGAAACCTAAATTTTAACTAATCAAAAATTAATTTTCCTTTTAAGAAGTCTTTATCACCTATAGTACTACAAAAAATAGTTATTTTCTCCAATTATTTTTCATAATAGGTACAAAAAAATATAATTGTCAATTTTTTTTAGCAAAAAACATATCTTAAAGAGATAAAAATGACATAAAGTTTTCACCTTTCTTTTAAATATGTTGCAAAATTTATAAAATTTCAAATTATAAGTAGTGTTTTTTGATTTTTTGCTATACTTTAAGAGAAAAATAAACATTTTATAGGTTTGCCAATAATATGGTTTACGTGGGGCTATCGTACTATGGACCAGCTCTTGGAAACGAGGAGCATCTTAGCTTTTTCTTTTCATCTCTTGCCGAAATTCCGAGTTATCTTGCCTGTTGGGTTGCAATGGATCGCTGGGGCCGAAGATGGCCCCTTTGTCTGTGTATGGTAACTGCCGGAATATCTTGTATAGCAACTGTACTTCTTTCATCAGGTAAGATTTATAATTTTCTTAAAAATTCATTTCATTTATTTCTAATCAAAAATACATATAATTTTTTTAATTTCCTCACAAATATTAAAAAGAAAAAAAATCATTTTACCTTCAGATGCGGTTGTGGCGACCTTAGTCCTGTTTCTTTTATCAAAATCAGCAATATCAGCTTCTTTTCTCATCATTTATCCATTCGCTGGGGAACTCTATCCAACTCAACTTCGAGGAGTGGCGATTGGATTTTCTGCCTACATCAGTGGACTAGGACTTATTATTATTCCCTTTATAACTTATCTGGTAAATTTCTTTCTTATAATTATTTATGTACATGTCAATAAAAATAGATTTAAAAATTTATTGAGGAAATTACAATTTGTATATGGAAATGGGGGGGGGGGCAAATAGTTATAACTTTTATGTTTAAATGTTTTTTGACTGTTTTTTTATTTTAGGGAAAAGACAATTTAGTTTTGCCGTTAGTAATTCTGGGAGCTGTGTCAGTAATTGGTGGAGTTTCAGGCTTGAGATTACCGGAAACTCTGCATCATAGACTCCCTCAGACTGTAGAGGAAGGAGAACTGTTCGGTAAAGATTGGACATGTGCCGACTGTCTTCGTTGCGTTCCACCAAAGTAATCATTTTTTTTTTAATTTTAACAATGTACATAATAATATTTCGATTATTTACTCTTTTTAAGGAGTCTATGTAAAACAATTTTTAGAATAATAATTTTAGATTTTAAAAAGCACTTTTTAGAATTTCTTAATGGAAATAATAATTTATATTATAAAAAAATATGATTTTAATAGATTTGTCTAGGAAAACCTTAAAATTTTCACAAAAAAGGCAAGTGAAAAATTCCAAATCCTATTTGCCACAATTTCAAATTTCTGATTGATGAAAATTATCTTTTAAAATTTCTATCAATTCAATGAATATTTTTATTATAATCAATTTTAATTGAACCAATTTCTGACATGTTTTCTTTTTTTTTTAGACAAGCATCAGCAACAACTTCATATGAAGATCTTTCAGCGTGTGAAACAATGGAATTACATGATCTACCAGATTTACCGAAGCTCGAGGAACAACGTTCGTCAGCGAGTGTTAGACGATTGGTTCGTCAGCAAAGTGTAATGGACACTCAACGAGATTCCGATGGTTCAATTAAAATGACTTACTGGTTTTAATAAAAGAGAAACCAGCTATGAAAGAAACACGCTTCTTTCTCCATTCTTTATAATAATATCACAAGTGGAAATTAAAAAAAAAAGAAAGAAACTCACACACAAACTTGAGATATTTTTTGTGAGAGAATCGAATTTTATTTAATGGTGTGTGTACAAAAACAAAGAATAGAAGAAATTTCGGACGATACTTAAAAGAAATGGATTGTCCGCTCGTCGGCGTTTCTTCATTCTGCCGACTTCACAGCCGAGTGGTCCTGTTATAACAGCTGGAAAAAAAAGAAAAATCAAGTACAAAATCATTTTTTATTCCATGTTGTATTTACATACATAAATTATTATTATCATTTTATTTTTAAGTTGAATAATTTTTAGCAAATGTAAATATATTATTTCAATTCTGTCAAGAATTTAAAATTTGGCTTCTAGAAATTTTTAATTTACGCATTTTTTGTAAACTAAAACTTCATATATTGCAATTATAAAGTGAATTAAATTTATAAAATTGAATTGAATTTACAAATTTGAATGAAATTTGCAAAATTAATTCAATTTCCAAAAAAATTGAATTGAATATAAAACTTAAATTGAATCTCTATAATTTAAATGATTTATCGTCTACCTTTCCAGTAATCGACGTTTTAATTCAGGTGGATAAGCAACGTATATGTAATGGTCCGGCATGTCCTCTCCAGTCAATGCTAATGATTCATCTAAAATTTCTTTTCTTCTGTCGTCCATTCTTCCAGATCCATGTATGTTTGATTCATTATAGTGTGAAGTAGTAAAATCGGTACTATGATTGTACTTCGTATTTCTACTTTCGCTGTCGATTCTTGAATCTTCTGCCGAACTATAAATGATAAAAAAATCCTTTTATTCAATATCTTCTTTTAAATTACAATTTCTATTATTATTATTATATTTCTAATTTCTAAGCGATTAAAAAACATTATTAATTAACTAATCAAACTTACTTGAATACAATCCATACGATGTAATAACATCCAAACACACTTGCAGACAATAAGACCAAAAATGTGATGAGTAAATACCAAGGAGTATGACGATGTTGTTTTTTCGTATCCTCCCAGTATCGGTCGCAACTTAAATACCAGCAAATAGCTCGATTTAATTCGCCTGAAATTATTTGAATTTTTTAAATAAGAGATAAACTTTTTAATATAATTTTCTTTTGTTTTGATATTTCCAAATAATACAAATAATTTTTACTAAAGAAATAAAAAATTTCGTTTATTATCTAAAAACTGAACTTATTATCAATGCAAGAGATTATTTGTTAAACCACCCTAAAACAATAATGATTGTGAAAATGGTTTATTGAATGAAATAAATTCAATTGCGAGTAAAGTCTAAAAAGTGCTGGAATAATATTTTCTACTTACTTTCGACCTCCTGAAAGTCACGTAATGAGAGATTAGCGAGAAGTCCCGCAATGCAATCTCGAACAAGAATCTACAAATGAGAACATTGTTATTTCTGATGATTTTGAAATTGAACTAAAATTCAAAAAATATTTTTTCAAGATACAAATTATAAAACAACATTTTCGTTTGTGAATTTTAATTAAATTTAATATTAAAATTAATTTTTACATTATATAACAGATTTATTAAAATAAAATACAAACCTCGCATTGAAGTTTCAACTTTTGCAGTTCTTCTGGCTTACAGCTAGCTTTGAGTTTTCCAAGTTTAAAGGCCTTACTGCGTCGTTTTTTAGACGCAACTGGATGAGCAGCCTCTACAAAATTCATATTATCTTCCTCCTCCTCGTCGTCGTCGTCATCGATTTCTTCATCCTCATCATCTTCTCCTTCTTCTTCGTCACCACCTTCGCCATCGCAAGCACTGCTTTTATTATCAGGTCCTGCTACTTCTTGGCGGTAGGAATTTGCCGAGTACTGAACCTCCGACGATCCTTTATTACGTTGACAGTATCTAAACATTTAATTGACAAAAATAAATTTTCGTTATATTCTCTTCAATTAAATTTTGTCAAAAAAAAACTATTTTATGATATGCACAAAAACTTGTTGAATTTTTATATATTTATTTTTTGAAAGAATATTTTGAGGCGACAAAATGTTTTGACAATTATATTTGAAATTTTCACCTTTGTAAACTGATGAAAGAACTGCTACTATCGGAGGTTGCCTGGGCTTTTTCCCCTCGACTAGTTCTGGAAAGTTCACGAGATTCACATGGTGTGGACACCCTTTTCTCAGTGTTCTCCCTCCAGACTTGAATGTCTGTATTTAAAGTACTTGTGCCATCAATTAATGAGCTATCAAAATCATGATTGCCCAAGACATCGCACCTCATAATGTCACAGTAATCTGCAAGACAAACGGCGTCTTCTGCCTGAAAAAATTTCATTTTCAAAAAATATAACAATCTTAAACTCTCATTTAATTTCTTACACAAATTACAGAAGAGGCAATGCATTATATTATCATTGCAATTAACTTTTAGATTTTCTTTGCACTTTTCTTCTCTTTTTTTCATAAATATAAAAAAGTTGAAAATTAAAATTGCCACTTTATTTATATTTTTTAATTCTTTACTTTTGAGGAGTAAACTTGAAAAGTAGCTTGAAAACCAACGAAAAATTTTTATGTGTGTGTATTTAGTATCATCTAAATATTCTATTAAATATCGCATTATATTGCATTATAAACTGCAATTCATTTTTTCATTAAAGATACAAATAATTTAAGTTACAATATAATTAAATATGAAAATAATTAAACTCACAACAAATTTTCTAAAACAATTAAAATTTTAATAATAATTTAATTTTTTAAAGAAGAATTTTATTGTTAAAAAAGTGAATTCATTTTTTACAGAATTGTTCCAATCAAAATTTTTTGAATTTATTAAAAAATCTAATATTATTATAAATAAAGCACTTTGTTTGACTTTATATTTAAATAAAAACGTTTCTCTAGCTCTAAACAATGTTTGTATTTTTATATTAGCAAATTGAAAATTTAATTACATTTAATTGAATTTGAATGTTAATAAATTAAGTGTGAATTTGTTTTAATTTTTTTTAAAGAATTAGTTGACTTTGGAAAAAAATAGTAAACTTTTTTAAAATATATCAGGAAATTTTTTATCTTAACTATTTTCGCGATATGGATTTTTTTAAATTTCACATACTTTTGATATGTTTTATAACAGAATCATTATTTTTTTAAAATACTTATTTAATTTTATTGTCCTTTTTAATGAAGTTTTAATTTAGAAAACCTTTAAATTTTTTTTAAAAGCGGAATAAAACCTTGAATTTCATTCAAAAAAAAAAAAAAAAATAATAATAATTTAAAATTTTTTCTCTTACATACCGTATTAATGTTACTTTTGTGCCTGTTATCGAAATGTGCGTCCAGGTGATTCTCGGTGTAAAATGACTTGCCACATAAACCGCACGTCCATTGAGAAGATCTGTGTTGATGTTTTGCCGCCTGTTGGGGATAAAATATGTCCCGACTCTCGTGAAAAGGACATTCCAAAGGCAACTCGACCTGATACTTCTTCAAAATGGGGATCCACCTCTGTGAAAAAAAATCTGATGATTAATTGTAAAAATTATTCAGACACATTAAAAAAAAAAAAATTAAAACTTAGTAATTTATTTTTTTTCAAATCTATAAAAATATAAATTAAATTTTTTTATTTTCTTTTTTTTTACTTACCTTCTGTACGATCCTCCTCACAACAGACGCGCGATCTCGTGGACATGATATTTTAAATACACTTGGCCCTGGCCAGGGTATCACAGACAAAAACAGCACCGCCAAAATCTAAAACAAATTTCATTATTTACTTTGAAAAAATTTTTAAAAAAATTGAAGCAGTTTCCTCAGGATTTGAAATTACAAGATTTTGTGTTTTATCACGAACTTTAAAAAAGAATTTAGTCAAACAAAATTACTCATATTTTTCCTTTATCTTAATAATGTATTTCAGTTCTACGAAGAAAGTTTTTCTCGTTACTTACAACTTCCAATTGCAACAGAAGTATAAAAAAAAAGTTTCAAAACACAACTATTATTAAACTTGAAACTGTAAAAGAATGGAAGTAAAGAATATAATCGAAATTCCTTCGAGGATAAATGAATTTTTTAATACAACAGGTATATGTAGGTATATACGAGGAACATAAATAAAACAAGTAACCGGAAGTAGTTACACGGAACCTGCACTTTTCTTTGATTAATTAACGGTTCATTAAACATTACCCCTTTCACTTCTTCAAATAATTAACATTGATCAATAATAAACCTTTTTTTACTTTCATAAAATTCAAAATTATTATATTTAGATAAATATTTTAGTAAAAAAAATTTTTTTAATTCAACATCTTCTTTCGTAGAATATTTTAGAATGTATTATATTTTTTCCATGTAATAATAAACGTAGTATATGTGATCAAACAAACATAATAAAAATGACATTCACGGAACAAGAAGATTTTTATCTGCGCATTACATACATGTATATATATATATATATATATAAATACCTCGAAATAAAGGGGTTGGGTCTTCATTCATAGCCCAATAATCTGTGCGAAGCGCGACTCAGTTATTATTTTTTGAAAAATTCCAAGATTCCTTTGTAATTGATGAAATTTTATTTAATAATTTGTGAACTCTCAGCTGACACTGAGAGTGATGAGGAGGCGTTCGAACGACGACGACGAGGGTTGAAATACATCCGTTGCGAGAAGGGTGGCTTGAGGTTGTCGATGATGATGCGCAATCGCAAAATGCACTCTTGTATCAAAGTGTGCATGCGTCTTGATAATGAGGCCAAGCAACAATTATTCCTTCCTCAAATATAACCTTGTCAAAATTCAAATTGCGTTGCACCCTTTATTTCTGGAATTGCTCAATAAAACTTGTCGAATAACAGAAAAATTAATATTAACATGTAAAATTCAAACTACTTTTTTTTTTTTAATTTTGAAGACAAATTTACTGCTGGTTCCGAAGACTATAAAAGAGATTTATTAAACTAAAAATATTAATCATTTCTATAAATGATTTATATAAAATATAATAATTAGAAAATTCAACTGTTTCAAGAACAGAAATTACTAGCAATAAAAACAAATTATCTTATCATTAACTCACATTATGTTTATTCTTTTGATGTAAAATATTTACAATTAAATTTACAATAATGTAAATTATTAATTGATGGAGTATTGATAAAGAGATGATTACGTGAATTAATTAATCTACTTGACAATATTATGAATAGTTCTTAATTTACATTTTTTTTCGTGTGTTTCGAGTAATTACCGTTTTTGCATTCAATATTTACAATTAAATTAAAAAATATATTGATGCAGAGATTGACAAAATACTATAAAATCAATTCACTGAAATATTTTATTGAAAAATTATGTAATAATAATATACAATTATTATTTGCCTAATTAAAAAATGCTTCAAACCTTTTTAAAAGTTTATAAAGATCTTTAAAATATCTATCTGAAACAAATTATCTGAAGCAAAATTTTGTCAAATTAAATTAATATAAAAATGATTTCAACTTTTTTAAACTTTATAAGCAATAAAGTTTTATCTCATTTTGTCAATTTACACGTCAATATTATGCATAATTCAATATTTTTAACTATATACGGACATTCTATGTGGAAATTTCATTCAAAAACTATTTTTGATTGGAATATTTTTTTTAAATTTTCTATTAAAAATTAACAAGTAAACAAAAGTAAAAGTAGCAAATACTTTCGAAACAATAAGTTCCATAATACCCATCGAATAACAAAAATTGTAATTTAGCGTTTCACTAACTTTTTTTATATAGAATTTGAAAAAACATATTCCAATCAAAAATTATTTTTTAAATGCAAATTTCACATGGAATGCCTTATTATTTATCGAGTAAAATCAATTAAAAATCACATTCACTTCTTAACCATGTGAGGTAATAAAAAAAAAGTTAAATAATTATTTTATTCTCACCTTCGGATTTTTGATCGAAAAGGGACCTAATTAATTTACTCTAACAAAAATTAATTCAATTTAATAAATTAAGGAGTGTTGAGCGCCAGACTCACCGATGAGTCAATGTCAGCATCAATAACCATAAATCTCAATAAATTTTTTTAATGAAATAAACAATTAACTTAATTCTCAATTTCTATAATAATTAAAAATAAAGAAATCAAAAGGAAATCTCGATCAAAAAATCCGAAGGTGAGAATAAAATAATTATTTCATTTTTTTGTATTACCTCACAACCATTATTCATTCAATTAAAACACTAATTCATTCATTCATTAAAAGGCATTTTACAGATTAATAATTAATTACTACATGCACTATCTATTATACATTTTCATTCACTCTGTTTTTTTTATCTTATTATAATTTAATTAAAATCACATTCTTCAGATATTAATTTTTAAAGTAACTTTCAATATTAAAATCGTACTCGTTATTTTAAATTTAAAAAGTTCATTGTCTTATTAATTAACATTTAAAATGTAAAATAGAAATGGTTGATAATTTTTCCCATCACGAATTTGTTAAATTAGTCAGTGATTTTTGAGATAAATAATTCACCTGGAGGTGTAAATTCTTCCTTAATATTAATATTCATATTTTAATAATTTACTGACTAGCATTGATTTTTAAACTGTAAGTTATACGAAATATTTTGTTTGAATTAAAAATAAAAATTCTTAATTCTACAAAAATGAGTATATAGATTAAGCTGAACGGACTTTGATAATTCGTAGAAAAATTAAAATATTAGAATATATCTAATATGTTTCACTTATTTTTTTTTCACTTTCAGTAAATTTTAAATCAATTTTCTACAATTAAGGAAAACGATTGATAAACATGTTTTGCAACATGTTGTAAATAAACTAAATGGAAGCATTTTCTTTTAGTGTTTATAATATTTGTTGCCAAAATTGTCATTGAAAATAAAGAATTAGATTGACAAATACTTTAATTTAAATTTCCTTCTCAATTTGAGATCGTCATATTTATGAATTTATTTTATTATCCTTTTAAGATGCATTATATATGATATATATAATCAGTCTCTTTAATAAGTAAAATCGGTTTTTTTCTCTACTTTTGAGTTTCTAAAGCAATTATCAGTGCATCTTTGTTTATTAGAAAATATTACCATCAGCAAAGTAACAGCAAAAAAAAAAAAAAATATTACTTTGCTGAAAGTTGTTTTTTTAAAGGTATTTAGAAAAAAATTTAATCTGACATCACAGACTTACGAATCACACCCTAGAACTATGAGTTGGGCTAATTAAGACACTTATTAAAAATATCTGAACTTGGAGAATATTAAGACATCCTCGAAGGATCCTGTCGGGAGACGACAATCCAACCATCTTCTCCAGAAACTACAGGTCCTATTGAAGGTATCGCAGGTGTTCTCTGCGTGTTACTTCGTTGATTTTTTTTCATTTCCAATTGATGTTTAAAAGTTTGATAGAGTTTCCGCAAAGATTCCTGTAATTAGTAATAAACAATTAAGTTTTAAAATATATTTTTTTATTTTCAAAGAAAAAATAACTATCAACTATTTTATTAAACGTTTGAATTGTAAGGATATCAGAAACATCGAATTATAAATAATTAAAATACAGAAAGTAACAAAGAATTATATTTGAATTGACTCAAATGATAAACGATATGAATTGAAAAGTGATTTAGGTTTTTATCAATTACGCAAAGAAGACCTGGCTCATTGAAGGTTGATCTTTGCTTTTCGCGCCAGAGTATCAAGTCGATGATTCATCAAAGAAAATGCGACACAAATTCCGGCAGACATTGCCATTCGATGGATCGCCTTCACTTCGTTCATCAGACGTTCACATTTCTCTCATGACGTTTTTCACGGATTTTCCCTATGCACGCACAACTTAATAGAATTTTAAACAGATGCTTTGAAATCCTTCCAACAATTTCGATGTTTCCCCGACTTTTTTGATATTTTCGATGAAAATAGGTCAATGCAAAATTCTATTAGACATTCTATTATTTTTAAAGTCTCAAGCTTCATGTTTCCTCCCAGGAGAGATTAAATGATTTTGTTTTCAAATAATAACGTTAATTAGTAATATAAGTTTGTTATTTCTCGTAGCTAATAATAGTTAAAAATTATTATCATTAATAAAATTTTATTAAAATTTTTTAAATTTTGGAAATGAATATTAAAATTCAAAAATATTAAATACAAAATTAAAATTTAATTCTTAACAATTGAAAAAAAGATGCAAAATGAAAATATCAATTTTCTACTAAGAAAAATCAAAAATAAATTCTTAATAACCTTTTCTTTCTCCAATCCAAGAAGTTCTTCTTTTTGTTTGCGATCTTCAATGCTGAGATTCTTTAGTAAGGCATTTTTTTGTTGGCTCAAAAGTGCAATTTCTGTTTGCACTTTGAGATACTCTTGTGCCAGCTGTTTGTGTTCCTCAAAGATCTCTCTAGACTGCGGACACGTGTGATCAGGAGTACGAGGTCTCTGTTCAGTGTCCAATAAACGATAAACATTGTCCAAATCCTCATTCATCGTACTGCTACCTGTTACAATGAATCAACCCATTCTTAATAAACAATAACAAATTATAATTCAACTTAAAATTTTATTTTTTAAGGAAATTAAAAATTTTCCAATAAAAGCTTAAGAATTTTATTTATATAATGAAAAAGAAAAGAACAGCATTTAATTAATTAGAACTCATTTTTCACTAACATCATTGGAAACTAATTGAAAATACTAAAATAGTATTTGTAACAAATCGAGGAAAATTTTACTTTAAACAGGAAATGATTCGTCATTCAAAATAGAAAACAAATTCAAGTTTGAAATTTAAATTCTTGCTATTTATATTATATTATCATAATTGTGATCCTAAAAAATAAAATACTCTAAATTTCTCTATACATGATCACTGTAGAGAAAATTCTTTAATCGAACTATAATTGCAGTTTGACTATTGAAGATCAATAGAGATATTTGGATAAAAATGAAATGCAGATTGTGTAAAATACTGACGCAATAGTAACCAGCAACGTTGGAGGGTATCGGTACCCACGATATTGAAGTACTCCTCACACATCTCGCTCGTGTTTCTTGTCTCCGAGCTCGACGAGTACAAATACTCCATTTGTGATGTGTTATTCTCCTTTACAAAAAAAAAAAGCTTTGAAATCGTTCGCCTTACATTCTCAGTACGAGAGCCAAAAAACGAATTGACCAATGAGATTGTTCATCCATCGAAAGGATCGACGACAAAGAGGTCGATACTAAATGCGCGATACGATTAAATATCCACTTTCTGATAACGATCGTCAATTTCGGCAAATTACCGGTAAACTACTTAGACAAAAATATGAAAATAAATAAACATTTAGAGATAAATTATTTTTTATTTTTTTTTTTGTGTTTGTGATTGAATTTCTCTTTATCGAGAGTTGCTCCTCCGCGGGGAGACGACTCTTCACTAAACAAACGCGCTTCTATAACGGGGATGCTGACTCAACCACACCTGCTGCTAAATACACTCCACCATTCCCCTCGAACTACCCTTTAAGACACCCCGCACCACTCTTCGTCTTCCCGAATTCTCGACGGCGTTCTCGTACACGAGCCAAAAACAAAACGCTCTCGCCTTGATTCATCCACGGGAATCTCGAGATTTTTTGCCATTTTTGTTGCTGCACATAGGACCAAAGTAAAGTCTCCCCCTCGGGAGATATATAAATATATAAGATATATAGATATATAAAATATATTTCAAGTCCAAGGAAATATTAAAAATTTCACTCCTTTCATTCTTCTTCTATCATACTATTATTTCAAAATTGAGTAAACAATATCTGACAATTATTTCTTCACACAAAGAATTATGAGAATAATTTATAAATTAAAAGTTCAAAATTTAACAGACTTTTGATGCATTGAAAAATTAGTTTTAATTCTTTGGGAAAATTGCTAATTGAAAACAGTTTGGATCACATCTTTTCAATGCATCTCGTGACAATGTGATTAAAGATCGTAGAACGAGAACAGAGCGGCAGAAGACGCATGAGTCATAGCATCGTTTGGTATTCCAGGCTGAAAATAATCCACTTGGTGCGCTACATGGCGTTCATCGGTTTATGTCTCAAACCAGAAGCTTCAATATTTAAAATCCATTTCACGCGAAGGAAAGATTAATGATAATTTACTAATATTTTCAGTGATTAATAAAATTTATATATATGATTATTACGATTGACGAAAATAATCTTGATTTCCTGTAATTATTCTAGTTTTTGAAATGCGTTTTATTTTATTGTGTTTACGCCCTTACACAAAATTGCACTAAAAAAAAAGGCAAGAGTCAAATTGTCACGCGTCAAACGCAGATATAAATAGTCCCGTACACGGGAGATCTGGGCGATTGAAAGTGTCTGTTTTAAAACAAACTGCAGACAGTTTGGTGCTACTAATGAGTAGTTCCTTTTTTGTTATTTTACTTGAAAAATAAAAGGACAAGTGAAGTTAAAAAAAGTCATACTCGGCATTTTTTTAGAAATAGTAATTTGAAAATTAGGTTCTAATTAAGGAAGTTCTCTCCCTCCAACGTCAGTCAAATCAATGCCCATTTAAGTTTTCATTTGTATCACGTAGTACTAGCTCAACGCTTGGCAACGTTGGATTATATTTCCCCCGTTCCGTTTCTTGTCGTCTGCTATTGTTTGATTTATTTTCGTTAAATAATAATAATAATAATTTATTATTTTAAAAATCTTAATTTTTTATAAGCAAATTCAAATTATTATTCATTATTATGAATCTTTGAAGAATATACTATTATATGTATATACTACTTATATTACTTTCAAATTTCGCGCTTTTTCTATACCTAACCTACAAGACGCAACGTTGCCAAGCGTTGTGCTAAGTAATTTCTGATTGTCAAAATACGGTGTTTTTTTAGACAAAATAATTAATTGTGAGTCTCCTAAGCCAGGTATGATCAATTTTATTAAAAGTAAGTGAACATTGGCTATTAAACTTTATGTATATAAAGTTCCAGTAATATCTTTTCGTCAGATTTTTCACAATTTGAGATTTCAGACCAAAAAATTCAATTTCCTATAAGAACCCGTGTTAAATGTGAAAAGAGAAAATTATTTATATCTTTTGTCAAAATCCACCTAGACCTCTAAAAATTTAACTACATCTTCTTTAAACCATTATCTATCAGTTTATCAAGTTTGATAATTAACTCTTCGTCATTTCTGTTTGCGAGAGAACTTCCTTAAAAGAAACCTAATCTTAAGCTGAATTTTTCAATATAAGATTTCAATTAGTTAATTTAACAAAGTTTTTGAAATTTTTGAAAAAGTATCAAACTTTACCGAGATTGCTTATATATAAAAAAATGTAATTTAAAATTGGTTTAAGAACGTCTGAGAATAATCAAACCAAACTTATATGACGCACATGTCTGTCATTTTGAGATTTGCAAATAGGTCACGATGCAAGTATATATATATATATACGACACATTCAAAGACTCTCGAAATCTAATTATTCAACCTCTTTCTTCTACTTTGGCAAACCTTTTAACGCCTCCTCATAGTTTCTATTAATACGGAAATAATTATTCTTCCTGCTGTTGTTTCTTTTTGTTTACATACTCTCTTTAGAAGAAAGAAAAAAAAAAATAAACTTTTTCTATCAATTTACGATAAACAATTTTTGTTGTACTGAAATTTATGTTTTATCGACAGTTCCAGTTGCTTAATTATGAAATAAAAGGAATGTACTTTTTTTATCGATAAATAAAGCAAAAATAAAATATACTTGTACAATAAATAAATAAGGTATCATTTTTTTTAATTATAATATTTTATTAAAAGAATCAACTCACCCTGTAAGTTTTTCTTTGATTTTGGCGCCATTTTATCCAAGCCGGCCATGTTTCGAATTTCCCACGAAGAATCCAAAGAATTTCCAAGCTCCCAAGCGTTCTAGAAATGAAAAGTATTTTCTTTCTATAAAATAATTGTTATTTAATTGAAATCGGAAATAAAAAAAACAACTTATAATGTAAGGAATTAAAAAAAATATTATACAATTTATAAGTTAGAAAATGAAGCTTACCGGATCACATTCCACTTTTAAGGGAGCAATATTTGATGATTGATTAAATGATAGAGAATTTGGTGTTAAAACTTGAGATTCTGGATTTTTTTGAATAACATTTCTCCACGAATCATCATTAGTAAATTCGAGTCTGCCTTGCATTTGAACTGGAATATCGTTTAAATCTAATTTTTGCAATGGATTACCATTCATCTCATCATTCAATTCAGTTGGCACTGGAGTTTTATCCAATCCATTTTCAACGGAACAGTTAATCAGAGAATTTAAAGTACTCGGCATATCTAAAGTATCTAACGTATCACTACGTGCATCCTCGTCATCGTCATCATCATCCATGTCCCCTTCACTGCCTGATAACATTTAATATTAAATCAAACTTAATAATTTATATTTTAAAAATCATGGCAAACAATTTACAATTGTAATTGTTAAATGTAACAATACAATTAGTTACATTCCAACTTAATGTTAAATAAGGCCACAAATATATATTCTTCATTTATCGAATATAATTTCATAAATATTTAAACTTTTTATAAAGTTCTATTTTATACTTACTTAAAGAATATTCTACAGGTCCTAATTCTCCACTGAACATTTCTGACAATGCAGTCATAATTCTAACCACTTCAACCATTGAAGGTCGCTCATCTGGTATTTTACTCCAACATCTATAGAAATAAATTTAAATTAATTATGAAATTATTTATTTTCTTATTTTTATCAATTGTAATTCTCACCTTGTCATTAGCCTTTCTATTGGTTTTGGACACGATTCCAGTAAAGCAGGTCTCTGTCCAATGTGAACTGCCCACATTATTCTATAGGCAGAACCTCCAATATCGTCAAAAGGTTTCCTCCTTGACAACACCTCCCAGAGAATGATACCCCAACTAAAAACATCACATTTCTCTGTGTAGCGAGAACCTTCAAATACTTCAGGTGCCATCCATGCTGCTGAGCCTTTATTATTTGTCATATAAGATTTTAAATCGCAAGCTGTTCCAAAATCACAGATTTTCAACGTTTGACCTCCCATGATTAAAAGAAGATTTGGAGGTTTCAAATCCCTGAAATATCAAAATATTTTTCTTACATTTCAAATTTATTTACAGTAAATAATTATTATATTAAAAATTAAATTTCAATAAATGTGAATTTTATTTAACTAATAATATATATATATTTTTTTTATTTACCTATGAATAAGCGGTTTTGGTTTCATATTGTGAAGATATGCAACACCACGAGCACATTGTAGGGCCCAACTCATGGCATGTCCCACTGTATAATGAGGTTGTGGTTCGCAATGAAGAACTGAATATCCAATTAAAAATACAAAATAAGTAAAAAATAAAGTCCTACACATTTTTTTTTTATATATTTGAAATTAATTTAATTCGCTTACCATTATATAATGATCCACCTTCTGCATATTCCATTACCAGACAAACGGGATTTTTCGTACAAGCTCCATAGAGTTTAACAATATTAGGATGAGCTACTCTTGAAAGTTGTCTTACTTCAACTGTAAATGCCTTCTTTTCACCTTCCGAGTTTATAAGCTTCACTGCAACATATTGTCCACGCCATTTTCCTTTCCAAACTACTCCAAAAGATCCTTTTCCTACAATCTGACATTTTTTTTTAAACATAAGAAACATCATTTGACATCAAAGTAAAATTTATAAGAATAAAACTCATAAATTGATAACGTTCACCATGCATAAAAGTAACTAATTATCCTAATTAACTGTATCCCTTTATTTCAATTTAGTCACCAAAGTAAAGTATTTAAAAAAACATTTTTTTTAATATGACACAATGTAAACATTGAAACTGAAATATGTAAACGCAATAATTAATTTTTATTGTTAACATGTTTTGACAGTTTCAAAACAACAAATTTTTATATTGTTAACAAAACAATTGAAATTAATGTTTATTTACAAATATTGATTATAAAAATAATAACAAGTAAAATTGTTAAAAACACTGTGAAACTCTTATAAAATAAAAAAAAATCCATTTTTGACATGAAAGATAAGGTTATGTTATTCTCTTAATTTCTATATATTAAATTCTAATACAGTGTAAGAAAAAGCTCGTAGATTATAGTTTTAGCTATTAAATTTACAATATTTTAAAGGAAACGAAACTTATGTTAAAATTAGTAGTAACCCTTACGCAAAGAAAAATATTTACCTCTTGTCTTTCAATTTCTTTAAAATCAATTTCTTCAACGAACTGCTGCTGATGGCCGGTTCCTTCTTTGCTCGCCATCGCACACAGTCGACGTCACATTATTTTCAGCGTGCATTTAAGCTAAAAAATTTAATTTTTATTTTTAAAAAAACTTTTTAATTAAGCAGTCTTAAACTTATCTCGCCATTTGCATTATTTTGATGTAGATTCTCCAGGGTTGAAGAGGTGAAAATTTAAGGTACTTTTACATTGTTTTTCGTCAGTGATGGGTTGTTTTTTACCATTGAACCTCTGAAATGTTACGACTCTGACGTATTTCGATTTCAAATCTAGCAATTCGTTTCCATGGTAACCGAAAATGTTTGAAAATGGATCTTGATCAAGTATTTACGTTTGTGCCTCTTGCGGATAAAGATTATAATGGAATATATAATAAAAAAATACAACAATTACTTATTAAATGGTAAATTAAAAGGATAGAAAATATATTTATAAAATATATTTCACGAATTATTTAATCATTTTTTAGGGGCATAAAGGATAATATTAGCATTCAAAACTTCGCTTTCAATGAATCATTTCACTCGTATCATAAATATCAGTTAGCCGAGGTATTTTTTTAATTTTATGTTTGATATTCCCTTTATTCAAGGAACAAAAAAAAATGAATATTATAATGTATGAATAATTTTTGTAGGCATTTTTTAAAGATGAAACTGTGGCAAAAGCATTAAAACTTAAAAATGGTAACAATTGGATTACCGAAGGTACATTATTACATTTTTTTACAAATAAATATGTATAAGTAATCTACAAAAACTTAAAATAATTTTTTAACACAGGAACAGTTGCTTCTTCTGTTGAAGTTAAACAACTTCAATGTTCAGTTTTAAATATGTCATTTTTTGACAAATTAAAAAATTCTGATAATAATATTGTTTATAATTCTGGTGCCATACATAAGAGATATGATGAAGAAATTGATGAATTTCTTGTATCTGACAATCTTAGAGCAGTATGTATTAATTTTCAAAAAATTGAATTTATAAAACGCAAGACACTATTTTTATAAACTCATTTCCAATAGTTAAAATAACTCAAATTAATCAATTTTAAAATATATAGTAAAATATGAAAAATTAAAAAAAAGATAAATTATTCCAATAGCACATAATTTTGTTTTCAAACAGAGTCAATTAATATATTTTTTTAAAAATATTTACAATATTCTTTAAAAGTTCTGTTTTATAGCCAAAAAAATTTATATTTAATATTCTTAAATAATACTACAAGTAGAATATATTTATTTCTTCATTGTACACTTTCTAAATTTTACAATATAATTTCCCCTTATTTTTAACAACTTAATTGTTTATAATATAAAGTCCAAATAAGTTATAATACTACAAATATTTATTGTTGTAATATTACATAAAAAAATAATAAAATCATATACTGTTTAAAGATGTTATTAAATGAAGAATGTGACGAATATGATTTATACACAAAACATGAACGAGAAGAATTTATTTTTGTCATATTTCAAATGCTCGTCTTGGGTGGAATTTTGTGTCAATATGAAGACAACATTCAATGTTATTTGGACGCAACAAAAACAATTTATAAAGATTTAATTAGGTAGAAAGAATATTTTTCATTTATCATAATTTTATATAAAATTAGAAATTCGAAATTTCTAAAATTAATCGCAAAAGTAATTTTAAATATGTCTTTTACAGTGTTGAAAACCAAGAAGAATCAAATAAATTGTACATAACTACAATGGTGTTGAAAGTAGATGTAAAAAATTCTCAAGGAGAATCTTATTTCCCAAAAAATCCTTCTCATAAGCAAAATCTTGGTTTCTTATTAATAGAACCTTCATCGAGACAAATAACAACAGTGCTTCATCAATTTAATTGATGATAATAAGGTTTGATAAAACATTCACTAAACATATCTTTTTTTCTGACAGGCATTATTTATTAGTTTTATTGAGTGAGGTAGTATGTTTTAGCTAAAAGATGAAAGATTATCGTAAGTTTTACAATATTTACATATAAAAATACCATGAAAATAATAATTCTACAGGTATATAAAGATGATGTATACTGTATAATTACAATTGGCTTATCTTTTATGCTCTTAATTATAGACAATAATATACTGACTATACTTGTGTTTTACATTAATCTATTTCATATACATGAAGAACATTTGGCATTTGATAATATTCTAAATACATTTAAATGGCAAAACATTATTACATATTATTTTTAATATTTGAGTCGATTTACTATATTATGTACAAAGTCGTTGATTTTTAGAGCAATTAACTATACCTTCCATAAAATAGAATATTAAATTGAAACTCAGACCGAATATAAAGTTCAAATTTTTTAGCACTTTATATTGATTATAAGTCTTAATTTAATAATTAAATTTTTTGCAATTTACATTCCGAATTTCAAAAACATACGCAATCAATTATAATTTTTAAAAATGAACAACTTTATGCGAAATATATTGAATTGATTCTAATATTAATTTCACCGGGCTTTGTGGAACGCAATTTTTCAATGTGAATATTCTTTTCTTAACAAAAATTCGAATAATTCAGTAAAACCTTCTAAAATTTTTAATTTTAACCTTACATAGTCTCCATCGACCCTCATCATTGTTATTAATAAATTATAATTATGACTTTAATATATTAAACATTAAAGCAATGAAAATATGCAAATGAGAAACAGTCGGTCAATTTATTTAACGAATTCTTATTTTCTTGAACAATAAATGAAAAAATTCCTTTTTTTTTGAAATTGTAGCAAGTTTATTCTGTATTCTATTGTAGAAATAAAATATACTGCAATTAAAAGATCGAATCATAATTAAAATAATTAATTTTTCATTACTTTAATACTGATATGACGCTATTTAAGCACAATTTTAAATACTTGTGCGTTTGTACGCTAAAACGTACTGTTTGATTTTTAAAACACTTAGTTACGTTTATAATAATCTTCTAAATTAATACTTTGCTGTTCATTTATAATTTACATAATATTCCAATGTCGTGATTTTATGTGTTTTTAAATGACTATTAGCCATAATTTAAATTTATTTCAAAATTTCATTAGAGCTCATCCACAAGCATGTGATACTTTATAGGAAGTATGAGTGTCGGCAAAATAAATATTTACAATCACATACTTTGTGGATATGATCCCTTTTTAGTCTTAAATTTCATTTTATTTGTTGATTTTTTTAAACGTGATTATCACAATTGATAATATTTATAAATTATAATAGATTTAATTAGAAACTTTAAACTCTAGTTGTAAAAAGAAACGATTAAAAAATTAAAATTGACGGAAATTCTAAAATAAAAATAAGTGTTAAATAATTTAACAAAGTTTTGTCATATTTTGAAAATTTGGAAAAGTTTTTGATAATTTGAAAATAATTATATATTTAATTATTGTCACCAATGTTTTTAAAAAGCTAAAACAATTTAAAAGTTGTAAAATAAATGAACTATTAAAGAGTAATAAATAATTTAATTTTTTTAAGTAGTGGTAAATTTTTAAACTCGACTTCTCTATAAAATGAATTGTCTGATTCTTAAAAGGTTAACAAATGTTTGGCATCTATTTCATATATTATATATATTAAATACTATTAAATATATATGTACAAAAAAAAACTCATAAGAATTATTTGAATATTTTTGATAAAATATGTATATAATATTTTTTGTGAAATATATTCTGACTTGATGTATACCTTATGCTTAATATTATGGCTGATATTTAGAGATCGTTCTGTTTAATAAACTGGGTATTGGTGTTAAATTTTTTGCGATGAGTAGTATGTAAAAAGTATTTTTAAATTTCTATACATAAAATCAGTCATAAATAATCAACTAATTACAAGATACTTCAATACTTTCTGATATCACATTTGTGCACAGCAACATTTTAGTAACGTTACTGTTACTAATTTTAAATTAGTTTTTGCAATAACAGTATTTACGCAAATCGTACAAATGGTTCTCGACGCATCTTGCTTGCGTACCATACATATTTATTCGACTAACGTCTGTTATCTGTAATGAATGTGTACACATTTATTTAAATATTTTGAAAAATAATGATTTTTGAGAATTTTTAAAACAAAATTTATAACATTTTCAATATAAAAAATAAGTTTAATAAAACAAGATTAAATTAATTTAAAAATTACATACTTAAATTTAAAGAGAGTGGTAAAAAGTTTTTACTAACCTTCATTGAAAAATTATTATTATTATTATTATTATTCAGATTATGGGTTATACTTCCTTCAAAAAGTCCACCACCAGGTTCTGTTTTTATTTTTATTTGATATATTTCTGATTTTACTTTAGTTTTCGATGTAAAATCACCAACAAAACCATCAAGATCTCCTGACTTTTGAAAATTTAAAAGACCTGAAATAGTTTAAAATTATAATATATGAGTCAAAATTTGTAAAGTGTGACAATATTTTTTGAATAGTTGAAATTTTTTCACAGTTTTGACAAAATTAAAGATTTATACAAATTATTGTTATAAACATTTTTATGCGTGATTTTACAAATTTTTGTTTTCCTATTCAATCAACAAAATCAATTTGTTTAGCGTTTGGCATTATTACTTTAAATTAACACTGCTTTCGATTAATATTTCTCATTTTTTAAAATTATGGAATTTTATCTAACTTCTAACAAGTTCTAATCTTTATTTATTTAAATATTTCAATTTTAAACAATAATGCGTTAGTCAGGAGAAATTTTTTGTGCTGCATGCAAGAATAAAAATATTTGTAATATTTAACCGAAGGTAAGTTACCAAATTATTCTTTTTGGAAATGATTTTAGTTTGTTTTATGAATAATATCCAACAAAAAAAATTTGAAAAATCTAAGAAGAAGTTAGATTAATTTCAATTTGTTTAAATAAATTGTATTTTTAACAAATTAAATAATTTTAAAAAATGAGAAATATTAATCGAAAGCAGTATTAATTTAAAGTAATAATGACAAGCGCCTGACAAATGGATTTTGTAGATTAAAAAAAAACAAACAAAATTTGTAAAATCATATACAAAAATGTTTCTAACAATAATTTGTATAAATCTTTAAATTTGGAAAAACTGTGCAACTTGTATTTTTTATTTACTGTTTTGAATAGAAAAAATTTCGACTACTCAAAAAATATTTTCACACTTCATAAAATTTTGACTCATATTATTATTAATATTTTTGCAAAATTGGTAAAAATATTTAATTTTTCTTAAAACCAGTTAAAATATTTTTCCAGAAAGATTTGAAAATTACAAAAAAGTTCGTAAGTTTACATGTACAAAAACATAAGTTAGTAAAAACTAAAAAAAGAATTTTTTAAATATTGAATTTAAATTCAAGTAGCCTTTTTTTGTAAAACTGCTTTCTTAAATGACTTAATCTTTTTTTTTATTTATTTTGAATGAAATAATCGATAGATTACTAATAATTAAATGTTTCTGAAGTAGTTTTAAATATAAATATATTATCAAAAAAAATATTTTAAACTATCTAGTAAAATTAAAGTTAAATTTTGTCAACACCATAAAAATGTTAAGGAATGTGACATATTGGAATAGTTAAAAAAAAGGAAATTTAAATTAAATAAGTGATTAGTAAACCTTAGTAAAATATAACAAATATATATATTATAAACCTACATAAATAAAGAATAATTATTAATTTACTTGCCTTTAGTTGGTGATAACTTAGAAGCCCATAAAATATCCCCGAGTTGTAGCTTCTCACATATGTTACGGTGTTTTTTGGTGATTGAATTTAAAAATTTCAGAAAATAATTTGCCGCGTCTATCACTGCTGGATCACCAATTGAAATTTCTTGCCAATTAAGACAAGCACACCAATGAGGTTCTATAAAAGCATCGGCACATGTTCTTTGTAAAGGAATCTAAAATTACAAATTGTTTTAATTAAATATTTATAAATTTTATAGCTGATAAAAATAAAGACTTTTTTTATTCACATAAAATATTTTAAATGTTTGCTTCTAAGTAATTTGTTTAATAAATACTTGAGAGGTAAATTTATTAATATAAGTATCAAACAATTTTTATATTTTAATCAAGGAAGTAGTAATTTTTATATTATAAAATTATAACTTTTTATAATATCTTTACTCTAAAATGAAATTTTACACTTTCTAAAATCTGAGTAATTGAAATTTTTTTACTGATTCATATTTAAAGAAAGCTTATCACCTTGTCAAAAAGACTGATGGCACGTTCTGCTTTGTCACCTAGTTTAGGATTATCAAAATCTAATATTTTCTCAAGTGTCTTGTGAATGTCAAAAGGCGTTGTTAAATGTTTTGTATTGTATAGAAAATTTTCATAAGCCCGCGGATGAATTTCCTTGAACCAGGGTGGAAATGTAAAGGAAAAAAACGGAAGTCTCTCCTCTTGTTTGCCTTGCACAGTATTTCTGATATCTGCGAATCTAAAATTATGAAAAAATTAATTATTACACTATAATTGAAGAGTAAATTAACAAAATCCATTTTTTTCTAAATATGTTGTATTATGCATAGAAATTGTTTGCAGAAAAAAATTTCAAAAATGAATTTATCAAGTTTTTAAAAATTACTCCTCAAGTTATAAATAACATTTCAAACATGAAGAAAAAAGAAATTATCTTATGTAATTAATTTCTTTACCTGTGTCCATGATCGCTCATAAAAATCAAAATAGTGTTATTCAAATGTCCACTGTAGTTTAGACTTTCAAGCCACTGATAAATATCTTCGTCGGCAGCACCAATATCATTATAAGAATCATGTGAGAGTTCTCCGTGAAAGCCAAATGCAAATTTTGGTTGGTCCCGATATTCATCAAACATTGTTTTTATGTAATTCATCATTACCTTAAAGGATTATGAACATTTTTTGTAAAATTTTTTACTTTTGAGACAATTTTAATTAGTTTGCAATTCTTCTTACCGAGTGTAATGGAATTCCATTGAGACAAAACTTTTTTGAATATTTAAAAAGTGGAGAAGCAGACAAATAGAAAGTTCTCATATAATGATCCGTTGGTTGTTGTTTAAATCCTTTAAGGCGATATGTGAACGTTCCAATATGATGAACATCTTCCATGAAACCAGTGATGTAACCGCTGTCTTTGTATTTTTTCCAAATAAGTGGATAAACGTCAACAAAATTTGCTTTTGATCCCATTCGTTTTCTTGTTTCTGGCAATTCGAGTTCAATTTTTCCAGTAAGAATTGGAATTAAAGCTTGAGGTGTTCCATCACCGACAATATTATAGCCTTCTAATATAAGAGAATTTAAATTTGTTTTTAAATAACGATACGACTTTGGTAATTTGCGAATAAATGTGTTACGTGACAATGAATCAAATCCAAACATAAGAACATTTAATTTAAGACCCTTTTCTGGAACTTTATCCCAAGTATAATCAGTTTTCACTGAGGGATCTTGTTTTACACCTGCCAATACGCTGTGCCATCTGTAAAATAATTTCAATATTACAAATTTTTAATTAAAAATTTTAAATAACTTACTGTTTTCCAGTCTGCGATTCACATTTAACGTCCGCAAAATCACTTTCTTTTAAAATATAAACATCATTTGATTCAACTGCATCCGTTAAACTAACTTCGAAATCATTCTTTCTGATAATTTCTGCAAAATTGAAAATTTTTACAATAATAATAATTATTGTTAAAATGCTTAGAGCCGTTTTTTAAAAAATAATATTCATGAAAAAACTTTTAAGGCTTTTGACTGTTAAAGTTGTTTTTTTATTGTCATAAATAAAATTTTTTGCTACATGTTTCGGCTTGATAAAGCCCGCATCAGGCAAACATTTTTAATTTAAAAAAGAAAATCCATTTACATAAACAAACATTATTTGTCTATATATGTGACCGTCCACGACAAAACAAGGCTTAGCTCCCAAAAGTAAATTTCACAGGGCAAGCGATTGAAGTAGAAGCAGAAACAAGGAACACGCTTGACATGCCCGTCTTTAGAACGTTATAGTGTCAAAAGTAATTGACATAAACAATTTCTGACTTTTGCATGTGAAAGAGCAACTTAAAATCTATCGATTAGCATCAAAAACTCAAAATTGATTTTTTGGGAGCTAAGCCTTGTTTTGTCGTGGACGGTCACATATGATCATATTTTTGATTTTAAAAATTAAACATGTATTTACAATGAAATTTGTTTATGAAAATAATTTTCATTGTAAATCCATGTTTAATCCTTAAAGTAAAAAATATGATCAACTAGACAAATAATTTTTATGTATCCATATGGATTTACCTTTTTAAATAATTTTATTTATGACAATAAAAACAAGTTGTAAATTCAGATGTTCATTATATGAACATTTTGCTTCCTCTTTACGATCAGCAAAAAAATTATTGCTTCCTCGTGGAGAAAGCATTAACATTGAAATAAACATACAAAAATAATATAATAATAATATAAACATTTGAGTACCTATGGATTTGAGTTAAATTTAAAGAATTAATGGAAGTTAAAAAATCGAAAATTCACATTTTATCTGAAATTTCTGAAAATTAATTTATAATTATTTACAATTATATCGGTTTGTTTCAATGCAAGGAACACAATTATTTTATATTTAAACTTGAATTTAAATAATTACAAAATTGTTCAGCTAAAATGGGAATTTTTTTTTTTAACTTTCATTAATTTATTAAATTTACCTCAAATGTATACTTTATATATATATATATATATCAATCGATTCGTTTTCATGCAAGGAATACAATTATTTTATATATAAACTTCAATTTAAAAAATCACAAAATTTTATTGACAAAATGTGAATTTTTAATTTTTTAACTTTCATTAATTCTTTAAATTTAAATTGAAACTATACTTTATATATACCAATCGATTTGTCTTGACGTAAGGAATACGATTTTATTATATATAACCTTTAATTTTTCTATTTAAAAATTTTTTCGATTAAAAAAAAATTTTGGAAAAAAGACGATAAAATTTTTTTTTTTGGGTATTTTTTAAAATCCTTTGGTGAGATTTGAGATATTAATATGATAAATGAGCCTACTAAATTTTATCTAAATCCATTAAAACCTGTTAAAGTTATCGTCTAAACAAAAAAGGGATCCACACACACACACATCCGGACAATTGATCAGGATCTCATATAACCTATTTCTATATAGAAAAAAATTTGTTTCCGACACTTTGAAAATTTTTATAAACGAAAGGACTACAAAGCTTCCTCCACGAGGAAGCAACCGTCAAGGAACCGTCAAAGGCCTTGAAAGTTTTTTCATAAAAAAAAAATGTAAATTTTTTTTTAACAATAATTTTTGAAAAATTTAACCAGACATTTTTCTGTTGAAATAGTAAATAATAAATTCAATTTTCTACTTTTATTTCCAATTTTTAATTCTAAAAAAATAAGAAGTTTAAAATAATTTAAATTTCGCACAACGTGAAATCGGAATTTTTGTTAAAGCTAAATGTGGTTTTCTTTTACATGGAGATATCGATTTACCTTTAAAAGCGCAAGTTATTTCTCCATAACGAGTTTTGATTTTATTTGAAATTTTCAACTTTGATCCCTCCACAGTGACCCAATCTTCCATTTTACAATCCAAGGGTTTGACATCCTTAATAAACTTCATTATTTCTGGATTTAAAATATCGAGTTCTGGAAATGTACATGCCGGTGATCCATTTCTATGCAAATATTAATTATTTTCATTATATGAAAGACTTTTTAGCCTGTTAAATCAAATAAATAAATAAAATAAATGAAAATATTAATTATTTTCATTATATGAAAAATAATATTATATTTCATTATCAACATACCCTGTATATGATACTTGCTGTTTGGCATCGTTGATCATTTGTGAGATACGCATACTGAAAAATACATAATAACCGATAATACAGCTCAGGCTTTGTAACCAAATACAAATACAAGTAGTAAATATAATTACAGAGTAATGTAGAGTTAAACAATGTTTTCCTTGACGATACAGTTATGATTAGTGCAAATTATAATAATCAAATAAAAAAAGAAATCCTTTTTAATTTAGAAGTAGTCAACGACATAAAAACTTATTCCCACTCGTAACACTTCTTTTTTATTTTTGTCAAGTAAACAATAAAAATTACTAAAATTAAAAACTAAATATTCTTAGACTAGTTTACTTATTCAAATAAAATTTCGTACATTAACTGCATGTTAATATTTATTCTTTTACTAATATAATAAATTAAGTTTATAGTTTCGAGCATAAAAATTTGAATGCGTTTAAATTTCTCATGATTTAAATTTTCAATTAACAAATATTATTTAGAATTTATCTACTTTATTAATTATATTTTCTTTAGAATTGTAATCTAAATAAAATTCTTACACTTATATTGACAAAATTTATTAATATTATAAAAATAAACCACACAACGCGACGGATCAATGAACTGATAGTAAACAATTTTAATGTTAAGTAATAATTTAATTTCGATATGTAATTACTTACAGCTTTCCCAACTGACTTGAATCTTCATCATTAAATTTCAACTCGGATCTAAAGACTTGAGCGATACAGTAGATACACACAACAATAAATGCTGCAATTATGAGCCTTCGCAAATAATATGATATTATCTTCATAATTGTCTTCTCTACAAATGAAATATAAAATTTTTGTTATGTTATTGGAAAATTACGGTATATTTGTTAACTCAAACTAAATCAAAGGAATTTTTACACAGCGGATACAATTAACTAAAGTCACATGTGATAGATAAGAAAATTTCTGCACTAAATGTACGCGCTTTATCATCCTAGATAATAATATTTTTAATCGAGACACTTTTGTATTGTATACCAAAATATGCTTCAAACTTTACAATAAATAATATTCACCGATTATATGTTCTTCTAAAAATATTCTTAAGTCATTCTATAATATTAAGAATGTGATATTCTTAATAAATATTTAATCTTAAAACTATTTATTTATTTTTTCCTGGGTAAAACTCCATCAGAAATATCACGATTTGCAAGGGGTCTTTGGATTCGTCTGTAATTTGGTAAAATTGTAGTACTGGATATAAGAAATGAAAGTCCCTAAGAATTTTTAAAAATGTTCAAAATTGTAAAAGTTACTCCATATTGAATTTTTTGACAATTCCCAAGAAGCACGTAATATAACCTCAATATCAAGGTAATATTACATGTAAGATTCGTAATATAACTTTGTAATATTACAGTAATCTGACAGTGATCTTAAAATGTCCGCCTCAAGGTAATATTACCAGTAATGTTACTGTAATATTACGCGCTAATATTAAGGTAATATTACAGTAATATTATACCGTAATATTAAGGTGATATTACTAGAGAATATTACAGTAATATTATGGGAACATTTCTTTACGAAAAAAATCTACCCATCCAGGGAATCGAACCCCGAACTCAAAGCACACGAGTCCAGAGTTTTACCAACAAGCCAAATTGACTTATAATATATTTACGTTTTTTATGCTATATGAATAACTCAAATCAGTCTGTAATATTACTGTAATATTACTGTAATATTACTGTTAATATTACTGTAATATTACCGTTAATATTACTGTAATATTACCGTTAATATTACAGTAATATTCCCGGTAATATTACCTTGAGGCGGACATTTTAAGATCACTGTAAGATTACTGTAATATTACAGCGTTATATTACAAATCTCACGTGTAATATTACCTTGATATTGAGGATATATTACGTGCTTCTTGGGTTATTTTTTAAAAATAAATATTTCTAAAACAATTAATCGGATTTCAATACAATATTTTAATATGTTATTGTTTAAAACATACCTTTTCGAAGTGTTACATAGTTGAAAAATTGTTTTTGAATTTTGACCCAAAAAAAGTCAAATAATTTTTCTTGTAATAAGGAGTAAAATATTCCTTACAATTTCACCTTTATTGAGGAATTCCAACTCTCTATTGGAATATAATTTCCATTGTATAGAATTAAAAAAATCAATCGAAAATCAGGAAAAATATCATTAAGCAGGAGTGTATGAATTTAAAAGTAAAGTTCTTTTTTTAATTTTGTGGTTTTGTATGGTCTAAAACAATCCTTATATTATGTGAGAGAAATTTCGGTGCGTAAAGTAAATTTCAGTGCGTAAAGTAATATTTCAGTGGGTAAAGTAAATTTCAGTGCGTAAAGTGAATCACTTTACACACCGTTTGAAAAAGAGCTTCTTTACACACACTTTTCGGTGTGTAAAATTTAACTTTACAGGTTAGTGTTGCAAAAAAAAATTTTTTTACAATATTAAATTAAACTACATATATTTAGCTATATTGTCTGTAATTTTTATCAAAATCCGTTTGACAGTTTCGGAAATATAGAGTTTTTAAAAAATAATGCATTGTTTTCGAAAATCGCGTAGCGGGCACAATTTTGAAAATTTTTTAAAATCCTTTGGGGGTTTAAACTATTTCACTTAAGACTATTACTTCCCCCAGTTTCAGAGAAATCGAAAGACCCCTTGCAAATCGTGATATTTCTGACGGAGTCTTACCCCCCCTACGAATTTTTTTGACGGAGATATACTTAATGTGAAAGACAAACGTTTTTCAAGGGACTTTAATTTTCTCGCAGATTTTAAAGTTGTATCGTACTTTTTTTTAAAACTTTAAAACTTTTTTTATACTTTTAAAATACACTGTTAAAAATGTTTGTAGTTTTAATATACATAAAGTACTTAAATTTAAGAAACTGGTATATTAGAGTGTAATTCATATACAAAGTATATTAAATTTTGTCACTGAAAAAAATTCAAATAAAAAAATTGCATTTTACTCAATTTATACATGTTCTTGTGTACAAAATAAGGTTTTTATTAATAAAGCAAAGTAATTTCTTTCATGTAAATACAAGTTTAAATCAATTTACATTGTAAAAATGTATATAATTTGACATTTATAGTACTTAACCTAAATGTCACATATAAGTATTAAAATTCTTGTATTTAGAATGTTTTTTTTGAAAAATTTTCCCCTTATAAAACATTATTTGGACATAAACAACACAATAGTTAAAGAATTACGCACTGTTGTTTCAATTTCAAATAAATTTTCAATATCAAGGAAATAATGACCGTTTGGTGAAATAGGCATCTACAGCCGCCATGTTGTCACTTTAAATTTAATATACATGTATCTTAGATTTCAATACCTGTAGTGCATATTCGCTTCATACGCATGTATATTAAATCTAATACAGATTTTTCTAACAGTGTATGTTACTAATAATAATATTAATATAATAATTAATAATAAACATATAATTCTTATATGTATGAACAATTTTAATTTGAAGGGGGATGCATCCTTAAAGTAAAATTTAGTGCTAAACACGAATATCATGATGGATTTTTTGATATTTTAAAGTTAAAAAATTCAATAAACATACATATTTTTAAAAAAAGTTATTGTAGAAACTATAGCAAAAGCAAAATTATAGCTATATACCTAAAGGTTCAAGTTTTCAAACGTGGCGTACTAACCATTTTTCTATTTTTTTTTTTTTTAACATTCCTAGAATTTAAACTTATCGTATTAACAATATAACTTTAATTTTATTTTCATTGACCTAGATATGAATAAATATATACGAGGCAAAATTCCTGAAGTGATCCAACTTTAAAATTGAAGGTTCTCGGATCGGGCTGAAATTTTTACAAAGTTTAGTACTATGGGTGAGTACTTCACCCATAAATTATTATTAAGTTTTATGCAAAACTGTAGAGGGGGGAGGGGGTTCAAGTTTCTCGTCAAATGTGAACAGTGGATTTTTTAAAAAATCGTAACTTCTATATAAATAGATGAACAAAATTTTGACCTATATGTATTCGAAAAAATTTTTTCTGCTCTTTCTAATGGTGAAAAAAAATTTTTTTAAAATTCAAAATTTGCGCCTTTTTTGAAAATTTGATTTTGAAAATTTTTGATTAAAAGTTAAGCTAATTCCGCATCCAACGAGCCCTTTGTGAAGTATTTTGGATAAGTAGATTGTTAATAAACAATTAGTTAACATTGCAATTGACAATTGGGCTCGTTGGATGCGGAATTACGTTAACTTTCAATTGCTAACTTCAGAATTACGGTTACTTTATTTGTTTGTAAAATATTTCATTTGTTATAAACATTAATTAATTAATCAATTAATTAATATCTCGAAAACAAAAAAAAACCTCATTCTAGTTTTTTTTTGGTATTGAAAGTATATATCTTAAGCTTTATTTTGAGGGTAAAAAAAAAGAAAAAAAAAGTGTCCTTTTGAAAAATAAAATTAAAAATATTTTTGATTTTCAAAAAAAGGGGCAAATTTTGAATTTTAAAAAAAAATATTTTCACCATTACAAAGAGCAGAAAAAAATCTTTCGAAAACATATAGGTCAAAATTTTGTTCATCCCTTTATATAAAAGTTACGATTTTTTAAAAAATCCACAGTTCACATTTGACGAGAAACTTGAACCCTCTCCCCCCTCTACAGTTTTGCATAAAACTTAATAATAATGTATGTACACTCACCCATAGTACTAAAGTTTGTGAAAATTTCAGTCCGATCCGAAAACCTTCAATTTTAAAGTTGGATCACTTCAGGATTTTTGCCTCATACGTATATATATCTGTTTTACAAATTTGCTAGTCATTGCATACGTCATATGTATATATAATTCAAATTTTTTGGTCAATATACCCAGTGGGCACACAGTAACGTAAAGGCATCAAAATATAGTAACATAGTAACATAAAAGGTAACTTAATGTTATCAAAACGAAAAGTGTACCTACTGGGTAATTTTTAAAATCTTCATTAATTTTATTGTTTGTAATTTAAAAACGCTAATTTTCATTTATTAGGAATTATTTTTATATACCCTCAAAACATTCATTCATATATATTCACATATATTCATTCATATTTTTTTCTTTCCATATCAATTTTTATGTTTAAAAATAACATTTATGTAAAAATACAAACAAGTTTTCATTGTTATACAAATTTGTATTTTTTTGTAAATTTATTTATAAAAGTTCCATATTTAATAATTCTGTATGAAAAATTTTAATTCTATGAATTTTGATATAAATGAAAATTAGAATAAATAAAATAATATAGAAACGTAAAAATTTTATTATTTAAATTCAATGATACATTATACGATAAAATAAAGACAATGTTTATCAAAAATTCAAACACGGGTTAAAGAAAAATAATTGTAAATAGATAAAGAAAAATGACATCTTTTTACCTATATATCTTATAATCTATTGCTTGTCACGTTTTTCATCCTCAGCACCTCTTCAATGAATAACTATATTTATATTTACAAATGTTGAGAGAGAATGAACATTATTGTCCGGTTGTTCTACACTAAACTTGATTACACTTTGAAACAACAATTTTTATTGCCTCCCCGGCGATATACTAACATTAATAGCTTTGTAGCAGTAAAATATTATCACAAAATACCACATGGACTAGAATCTAATTCTGGAATATAATAATAATAATTATCAGAAACCACGAACTACTTTTCAATGTTCGTTTAGATGTTTTTAAAAAGTTAGAAATCAAATATTCATGCGTTTATTTTTATCCAAGGTAAAAACACACCTAGAATAGACAAAAATAAAGATAAGATAAGATGTATTTGATTTTTTTCTATAGGACTAGTCTTGCGGTGCAGGTGCAGAGTGCAGTGTTCGTCTGTAAATTATAGTTCTGATGAATACCGAGGGGTTGAGAGTGCGCTGATGTCAAATGCCCTAAAGATTGATTTAATTTACAATTAAATTTTTTCATTAATATTAATAATTAATAGTTTCCCGTCACAATAAATTATAATTAAAATTTAATTAATCTATATTATTTATTAAAATAATGAATTCAAAAATTTCTAAAATTTATTATTAACGTTATTTTTTAATACAAAATTTAATACATTTATTTATAATATATATTTAAAATATAAAAATAAGTATATAAGTATAAATATAAGTATTTATTGCAAAACCATGTAAACAAAAACAGATATTACAAGATCTCCCAAAAATAGATGACCGGTGATGAAAAGACTAGAAAATTAACGCAAAGATAAAAATTTGATTTTCACAAGTACGTCTGACAACTTCTGACCACGTGCAGTATGTTTTCCGGTTTACATCAGACCGTGTCGGTAAAATCAATCCCTATCTATGCTTAGTTTATTCAAAAAAGGTTGAAGGAAAAGTTTTTAATAAATTTATATAAAAAGAACTGTCTTATAATTGTCATTAACAGTCGTTTCTGATACAAGCCTGTATCTTTTTTTCGAATACTATAGCAGCAGGTATTTATAATCAGACTTTCTTGGAATTTATATGCAAAAATGACATCTTACAGTTGAGAACTATGAACTGTCTTACGCCGGTCACGGGTCAGTATAAATAATTAGATTTAAACCGATACACGTTCTGAGGTCACACTATACTCAATCTCTTTGAAAAATGTTAATTAAGTAATAAAATTGAAGCCAGTATATACGTATTGGATTGATTGATTTAAATAGAAATAATTATTTTTCATTCTCTTACGTCTTGCATTTATATTTTATACGATTTTATATTTATTTATTTTTCTTATTTAATTATTTCATTTTTTAATTTCTATACTTTTTATTTATTTAATTTATTGTAATAATAATAATAATTATTATTATTATTTCTGTCAGGTACAATTTATTATTTTTACTTTTTTATCATATTTTCAATTTTGACATGATTTATTTTATCTTTAGATTATTTTTGTACATTAGTGCTTTATTTACAAGCTAAAAAATCGGGCGAATTTTGATAAAAAAAAAATATTAAAAAATTATTGTTTAAATAAATAAATGAAAATACTTTTTATTTTTTTAAAAAATAAGTATTATCTAATCTAGCATTCTCACTAAATATGTACAGTTTTAAAATAATAAAATGTTAAGTAATGGCAAATATTTATAAAGAAATAATCACTTTTTTAAATTATTTTTTCAATATAGTAAATTGGTTTTTAAAAAAATACGTACACTTTTTTCACTGCACTGACAAATGCATGACACATTATTGCGTTTACAACTCTCGAAGACTAGACACGTATAATATACATTAGAACTTTATGGTAGTAAAATTTCATTTGAACATCTTATGTTCCATTGTACATACATATATCAGACACCGTTGTTGACTGAAAAACTTCCTTTCCATTTTGCCATTAGGTTAAAATTATTATGTCTTGTCTGAAAAAAAAATTATTACATTAATGACAAGTCAAATATATTAAGATAACAAAGAATAATATGCATATTAATAATAATCTTTTATCATTATGTTATAGAAAATTTTAAAATATTGCTAATATCTTTAAATTTAATAGAAAACTAATTATCAAAAATAATTATTTACCAAAGAAAATGAGAGAGTATCACTTTTACACATAAAAAATTTTTTTTTATTTTAATATAAAATTTTTTTTTCCTCTATGTAAAATATAAATAACAAATTTTCTTTTTTATTTTTTTCGTACATCTTTCAACTTTTAATAAAATTTTGTGAAATAGCGTTAGAACATTAGAAGACTTTTTACTATCTATCTTAAAGAAAAATCTAAAATATTGTTTAACTATGTGATCCACTCTCAGAAGTATTAAAGTGGTGGATTTTTAAATTTTTGAAAATTGTCAAAATAATGAAATTTGTTTTTTTTACAAAAAATTCACTTTCTGTCATAGCAAATTCTTTTCAAACATTTTAAGTTATAACTTGTAAATTGAGTGTTATCTGCAGAAAAAGTAAAAACAAAGAGCAACTCGATTTATGCAATAGATGTTACACAATAATGGTTACCAACTAGTAAAACATTATTTCGAAAAAAAGCGTTAAATGTTTTCAACAAGAATAGGTAAATCCTTGATGATATGAATCAACTTGAAATTTCGGGGAAAATTTTCTAAAATTTAGTACTTTAATATAGGTATAAAAAAATTTTTAAATTAATTTATTTAAAAGTTTACACAGGTTGACGACTATGATAAAAAAAAATTAAAAATAAATGTACGTCCCATTTCCACTGATAGCGTATAATTATTTCTGATATGGAATAATATAACTGAATATAAAATTATATGATAGTATTTTATTGTAAAATAAATATTTAATACCTGCAATGGTATATCTGTTGTAGATGATACAAATCCATCATTTACTCTCGCTTCATTACTATGATTAAATTTAGGCTTTAATTTTAAAGGTCTATAAGTATTGCAAACCATTATTAAAATATCTGGTAATAAACAGATTACAAGAGCTAATAGTGTCAATAACCAAAATGTTGGAGACAATGTTAATTTGTGAAACACCCAATAAACCTTTCCGTCATGGTTGCTGAAAATAGAAATTAGAAACAAATTTTTTGAATAAAACGTAAATTCGACCGAAAGGAAGATAAAAATAGTAAAATCATATTTATGACATTTCTTAAAGTTTTGACGTTTCAATGGAAGTGGAAGTCTATCTTTATTAGGCTAATTTATTTAATAAAACACCAAATTAATAATAAATAACACGTAAAATATATATTAATAATATTTATTTAAACTTCTATTACATTTCAACTAGTCAAAGTTAAAATTATAGTAAACATTAAAATAAATATAAATATAAATTTAACGTCTTATTAAATAAATTAGCCTGATGATGGTAACACCATCGAAACATCGCAACTTTAAAAAAATATGACATAAATATTTTCTCATGTTTTTTACCTTCTTTTTTCGGTGGATTTTTTTTTCTTTACTGAATTATGCTTCTCGCAATAGGAAAAATGCTTGAAAATTCTTTAATTATTGATTCTTTAAAAAAATGTTAAATGAAGACACAAAGATAAAATGATAACGGTATAATGCATTAAAAGTTACTTACAAAAATACTGAACAATAAGAAAAAGCAGCAACAAAAAATACTGCTTCCGATATTATTACACTGAATACAAAAAGCGTAGTCCAATAATAACTGTGTAATAAAATCTACAAATAAAAAAGAGTTATGAAATTTCATTTAAATAAAGGATAAAAGAAATAAAAGTTTCACAAATCATGAAACTATTTATATGATAAAATTGAGTAAAAATTTACTTGAATATTTGTTGTTAAAACAACTATGTGAAAAATACAAGTACTAAAAGTCCAATGATCTGCGGTAGTACTGTCGTATAAAATTATTGGATTTATTATCCAGTAAAAATAGCATAAAAAATAGATTGCACAGCCTTGCCAAATTCCTATAAATTATTGCATTAATAAATATAAAATATAATTTATTGTTTAACAAATTTTTTTTTAAATATTAAATTATCTAACCAACTTTATACGTATAGAAAAAATTTACCTGTTAAAAACCAAATCACAAATTGTCGAGATGATAATAAACTGTTTTTCCTATGAAGAAGATATAATTGAGGAGATCGTAAAAGTATTTTGGCAGGATAATTTTGTTCCAGTAAACCGTACATTAAAACTGGAAGAGATGTGAATATAACATTGTAGCACATCATAAAGAAACTATGATACAATGCCTGAAATCATTTTTAAAAAAAGTTTACTCTAAATATCCCATTTTTTCAATGGTTTTTTTTAGGTCACTGTATAAATATTACTTTTAATTTAATAAAATAATAATAATATTTTAAAACTCAAATTAAAAAAATTGTTTTCTGACAAGTGTAAGAAAACAAAAATTTTATAAATAAACAATTTTTAATGTTTGATATAAATTTTTGTAAGGAAAAAAAATATGAATTTCCTTACCTGCTCGGAAAAACCATTATGAATCTCAAATAAAAATTGTGGTGCTACGAAGACTATATTTTTGTAGAAAAAATACTGTATTAAATTACTAATTCGAATATAATACCAATGGCCATGAACTAGTAAAGCTTTTCTTAAAAACTTAAATTTGGCAAATGCAAAATCTGAGCTCATTGTTGCTTGACGGCCTTCTTTACCCATGATACCTATACCAATATGAGCTTCTTTTATCATTGAAACATCATTTCCTCCATCGCCTATTGCTGCTGTAATAGGTTTTCCTTTAGAATGTTTTATTAGATGAACAATCTGAAGAAAAATTAATAAATTTTACATTTTTAAAATTACAATATAAAGATATTTAATAGAAAAATAAAAATTTGTAAAATGACGCCCAAATATGTTTATAACAATAACGTGTAAAAATCTTCAAATTTGGCAAAACTGTGCAACTGATATTTTTTATTCATTGTTTTGAAAAGAAAAACGTAAATTTCATGACAAAATTTCAACTACTCAAAAAATATTGGCACACTTTACAAATTTTAATTCGTAATTATTTTTTGTATATGTATATATAAAAGTTACTTACCTCACTTTTTTGCAAAGGAGACATTCTACAGCAAACAACAGCTTCACAACTTTGACTTACATTCCGAAGTAAACTTGGAAAATAAGTAATTGCAAAAGCCATACTACATCCATCCATTAGCAAACCATAATTGGCAAGAGGTTCTAATTTAATTTTTCTTCTGTAAATGAAAAAAAGTCTTTGTCTTGAAGAAATCTTAATTCGAATAAGCAGTCAATGTAATATTTTTATATTTTTGTATAACAATTATAATTTTGGATTTTCTAAAAATACCTACTCAATATGGATAAGTGTGGCAAAACAAGTTTGTACAGAACTTTCATTCATAAGCCTTAAGACGTCGGTTCCTTTCTTAAAATGTCCAGAATGAAAAGCAATATTTTCAGCAGTTTCTGCCTTATCTCCTGTCAAGACCCAAATCTTTAAAGAAATAAAAAATAATTTTTTATTTTTTGTATAAACCGTTTATTAGATAAAATAAATAAATAAAAATAATATTGTAAAATACGTACTTTTATATGAGCAGCTTTCAAACTTTCCATAGTTTGCGGAACGTCATCTTGTAGGCGATCTTCGACTGCAGTAACACCTAAAAGTGTCAGACCTTTTTCAAAACATTCATATGCTTCAGATATATCATGTTCTCTAGTATCGCCAATTTTTTCTCGTGCATTTTCCACATTCCTCATGAATTTCTCATAATCTAAACTATCCAACTTTTTATAACCAATTACAAGTGTTCGAAAACCTCTCTGTAAAAAATTTTTTATTGTATAAATGAACAAATATTTTTTCTTTCCCAAAAAAAATTCGACGATAGGTGACATTTACACTAAAAGACTAAAAAAGATTTTTTTTATTTGATGCATGTACTAAAACATAAATTTAATGCACTGATAGAAAATAGTTATTAAATTTTAGTAAAATATAGTACTAAAAAACAAAATATTTAAATATAAGAAACTTTAAATCTTAGCAGGCTTCGGATCGACTTTAAGGCGCAAAAAAAGTCGTTTTACATTCCAAAAACAGTAGAAAAAGTCGATTTTTTATTTTAATTCAATTTAATTAGTTAATAAGTATTTTACTTTAAATAATTAATATTATTAGATATTAAATCCATTTTATTAATTCCTTAATAAGAATAATTCTATAGAAATATTATCAAGAAAATTTATTTCGAATATTTCAGAATCGAAGACGTAAATTTTTAAAATTTTAATTAAGTTATGTGCCCTTCTTTGATCCGGCAGCTCAATTCAATTTTAGAGTTTTTATTTAAAACTTTTTTAAATAATTGAATTTTAAAGAAATATTAAAATTATTAAAACTAATTGAACTTTGGAAGAGTTGTAGTTGAAATTTTTAAAAATAATTAAATTTCAAAAAATTTTGTTAAATTTTAGACAATAATTAAATTTTATAGAATTGAAAATAATTTATTAAATAAAAGATAACATTTTTTAAAAGTAATTGAATTTTCAAAGATTTAAAATTTAGATTTTTGAAATTAATTAAACTTCAAGTGATTTTTAATTGAAAGTTTTTGTGATGAATAATTTATTAGAAATTACAAACAAAAATTGAATTTCAAAAATTTCAAATTGAAAAATGCTTTCAAATAATTGAATTCAAGTGATTTTTAATTGAAATTTTTTTAATGATTTTTGTTGATGAATATGATTAAAAATTAAATTTGGAAACTTTTTAATTGAAAAATGCGCTTTCAGATAATTGAATAATTTGTGAAGAATTTCATTAAAATTTTTAAAAATAATTAATTTAGAGAAAAATTTGTTAAATAATTGAAATAAAGAAGATTTGCATTATATACTAAAAAAGACGTATTTTGTTTAAAAATTTAAAAAAAATGTAAGAAAAGTCGAAAAAGCGTATAATTCGAGGTTTGCGTTAAGAAAACTCATAATTATGGAACTTCTACTTTCTTTTAATTTAATTAAGGTTAAAAAACATACCATCGAAAAGTCAGAAACTTGAGCAGATACTTCATCAATGTCTGTTTCAACAATAAGAGGTAAAATTGAAGAATCCGCTCCTTTACAATAAAGCCATATATCGTTTGAAGAATCTTGTACAATTACAGACATTCTTTTTCTCTCTATAACAAGAATAAAAACAATTGAAGCAAGAAGTTTTAAAGTTTATTTTGTTATATGATATTTACATTATTTATTAGCATATTTATAATACGATATTAAGTTTTTGCTTTTGGATAGATTTAAGAATTCAAAATTTGCTGGTACTTGAACCGTTTTAAGAATTAGTCCTTAACTCCTCTGATGTTTGTTATTGAGATATTCATAAAATTTCAATGGTGAGAGATGGAGTGACATTTTCAAATAATCGATTTTTAGAATATTCGGGAAAAAACATAGAAAAAATATAAATAAAAAAATTCTTGATTAGAATACTATCTCCATGAGGAAGCAAATTGAATACTTTACCTGAAGTAAACTCAAGGGTTTCTAGTCTTTTAAAAATAAGTCTCTGATCCTTGGCTTTAATTTCTATTTTATCATTAAGATCCGATAAGAAAACTATTCCACATCTTGCGCTTGCTTCCACCAAAGCCCTCTCATCAGCTGAAGCTGCCTGCATTAATTAAGAAAATTTATTTAATCAATTATAAATATTCAGAATTGAAATATCGTATTTTCTTGTTCTTACCTGATATTCTGGTAATGATGGATGCATAAGAAGAGAGCTATTAACTCTTGTTATTTTCCTCTTCTTAAAACTATCACGATATTCGGTTCGCAATTTAATTGCATTTGCTGTTTGACTTGGTGGCGCTATGTGAACCGTATGACAAAGGGAAATACTTAACCAAAAGTGCCATAGCGACGACTGAAATACATAATAATCAAAATTATAATTAAATTAATTTAAATTAAATAATATTTTTATGTAATTTATCATTTTGTTTTGTTTTAGTATAGGTACTATTATTATTGAAAATTATTAATTTAGCGAAAATTTTTAGATAATTTTAAAAGTAATTGAGTTTAACAGTCCATATTTTTTCAATTAATCAAATTTCAAGAGATTTTGATTTAAAAATTTTGTAAATTTAAATTGCTCAACTTTTTTACAAGAATTTTAGAAAATAATTGAATTTTAAAGAATTTTGAATTGAAAAATGTTTTAAATAATTTAAATTTCAAAAAATCATTTTAAATTTTATTTTGTAAAATGAGTAGAAAAAGTCGATTTTTTAAAACGTTATTATTCAAAATTATTTCATAAAATAAGTTAAAAAAGTTTTATTTTTTTAAATAAGTCGAAAAAAGTTGCATTTAAAAAAAATTCGGAAAAAGTCATACAATCTGTGGCCTACATATCAATATTTATTCAACTTATAGTGATTTATATTTTGGAAAATTCATTAAATTTGAAATGAAATTTTCTTTAATTTCTCTGAATTGTTTCTAAAGCAACAAATAAATACAAAATTATGTTAAACTTCAATTAAAAATGTCGAACTAAATTTGATTTATACAAAATAATCAGGTCATAGATAAATTAATGAAAATTTATTTTCCCATGAGAAACATTAGAATTTACGAACATGTGTAAACCGAGTTTGTGAAATATTTTTTTAAAAATAATTTTATGTTTTACATGCCAAGATGTAAGCTTCACTGCTTCTTCTTCGTTTCCATTTTGTGGTAAGAGGTAGAGATATCCATCACAGTCTTTTTCCATATATATTTTTCCATTTACAAAACAGCGCTTGAATACCATTAAATTTTCAGTTAATGTTCCAGTTTTATCAGTAAACAAATATTCCACCTGACCAAGCTCTTCATTTAAATCTGACGTATTGGATAGAGCTGCTTCATCACTAGCTTCATCGTACATATCGAGATCCCATGTGAAAAAAATAGAACCAAGAAACTTTTGCATTTCTGGAAAAAAATATGAAAAAATATTTCATTGAAAAACAAAATTTTTTAAATATCCAAAGGAAATAAATAAATATTATATATTAAAAATAGTTGTTTTATTTTTAATTTCATTCTTATGCTTGTTATTTACATTCATTTTAAATCATATTTTTTAACAAATAAAAATTTATTAAAATTATTATTATCTACATTTATTTTATTGTATTTTTAAAAGTTCTTTTATTGTAATGGGGGGCATAAAAATGCAAATTTAAATTTTCTTACCTACAGTAACGTACAGTGATATCGGTACAATGTAATTAAATAACAGCATAAAATTAAGCATGCTGATTAGGATGTGGTAAAATTTTTCTGATTTAGTTTCTCCCAAATAAGCCTTCCATTTGGAATTAAATTTAAATACTTGTTGCATTATAACAGAGATGAGAGATGTAAGTATCAAAAGTGCGATAAATACCATTAGATATCTGTTTATGGACCTGGAAAATTAAAAACAAATTTTATAAATCTAGATTCATTTTACAATTTTTTAAACATTTTGTAGTTGTTGTTTATATAAAACAAGAAAAATATTTCATAGAAAAAGAGTTTGATAAGCTCTTTCTTGGGCTTTTCAATTATGATATATAAATTTTCTTTTTTAATTCTTTTACTTTCTTTCGATGAAAAACATAATTTTTGTTAGTTTTTTTTTTTTTAACGAAACTATTAAATGTTTTCTGTAATAAAATATAGATTTAAAAGTGGTCTTAAAATTTATAATTTTCATTAGGATCAAAAATCAATGAAAAAATAAATTTTTATTTTTCAAGATAAAATTATATTAATTTTCAAAAAACAAAAAAAAATGGATATCGCTATTGTAAATAAAATAGAAATAAATAAAAATATCTTACTTCTCAGCTGTGGAAAATTTATTTACTATTTGTTTCGAGTTAAGAGACAATTTTGTATCCTGACCGGTATAAATACTACAACCGATTACGTAATCGGTGTCCTTAAGTCTTGATCCTCGTAGAAGAACATTGTCTATTGTAAGTGATCTATTCATTGTCTCACTACCTATATTAACCTTGATCTTGCCATGAAAGGAATATAGATCGGCTTGTGGATGCTGACAAGTTATTACTGCATTCAAGGCAACAATTTCCGACATGTCCCAAGAAGACAGAATTTTAGGAACATATAAAGTCTGCAATAAAAATTAATCCTATTATCAATTTTATAATTATTCTCTATAACTAAAACTAATGTATAACTTTAATTGTATGTAATTAAATTATCATTAATTTAAACTTAATAACAGTAAATAAAAAAATATTTACAAATCAACAATATTTTACCTTTAAATTACTTTCTCCGTCGAGATTGGACGTTGTAATGTAACAACAACCAGATGTTTCACTGCTATGTAAAAGAACCATATCGCATGGAACATCTTCATTTCGATTAATTTTCAATAAATCCCCTACAATTATTTCTTGGCAGTAAATTTTCTGTAAAATTTGTTATTGAATATAATTTTTTTTTTATGAAATTATAGGTTTTACAGAGACATAAAAAATGGTACAATTTTAATGCCAATCCATCATTTTTTTCTCGTTTAAAATTTAAAAAAGTCGTTTCTCAAGATTGTGTAATTTTTCTTTAGGCAGTCCAATTAATATTTTATTTTAACGAGCTTTTATAAAAAATGTTTCAACTGATTTATTAACAAATCTTTTACAATCTAGTAATTCTTGTTAATCAATATAATTAATATTAATTTCCATTAGTTTCCATGAAAGATTAAAAGACAGAATACAATTAAATATCTTAAAATAAAAATAATACAATTAAATGTTTTTCATTCTTTTATAGAAAAATATGATACCTATACGTATATTTTTGTAATTTTTTTCGACTGTTAAATATAATTTTAACGAAGGAAAAAATACGAATCTTAATATGTAATATTTTTTTAAATAGAAATTAATTATTTTCTTCTTTGCTCCCGATTTTTTCATCTTTTTTTAATTACCTACATATTTTTAAAAATATTAAAAATATATTACATTATTTTCTATATAATAAAAACAGGAAATTTTCAGTTTTGTTAACATTATATTCAAAAGTCGAAGACAAATAAAAATTTTCATCTCTGAACAAAAATTGTCTAAATTCAATATAATTTCATAATTTTAAGTCTTCTAAAATAGATCTACTTTTACAAAATAAAAATTTTTTAAATTAAAAATAAACATAATTCGAAAATTTTTCCATGTACAAAAATAAAAATAAAACTCTCACCTGAACACAATTATTTCGAACAGCTTCAATAAATGATAAATTGACCCGTTGATCTGATTTGTAACGAAGAAAATCTTCATATCCTTGTTTACAGGCCGTAACAAAAATAACAAATGACAATGGTAAAGCACTGGTCCAAGGTGAAATTGGTGAATCGATCAATAATGAAATAATAATTGTCGTTAAAAAATAAAAATTCGTTAACCTTCTAAATTGTTCGTAAAGATTTTTTGGTATAAAATTCCACAATGTGTACTGAAAAACATATAAAAAAATTAATATTAAGAAAAAAATTTTGAGTTGAAGTTTACAACGTCTAACCTGATGATTTCGAATTTTTTTTCTTCTTGTTTTATGCCTAACAATTATATTAAATTAAGTTAGATATATATGATAAATAATATAAAAAAGTTATTTAAGAAAAATAAGAAAGAAAAGTCGCCCTTAAACAAGATACGATGCGAAAAAGAATTATTCAGACGAAAATCGTCAGGTTTGACATTGTAAAATTTAGGTCAATAAAAAAAAAACATTAAATTTTAATACAAATATAACAATATAAAAAATTACCCTATTTGATGAGATGCGATTATGAGGAAATAAATTTTTTGACGGCCCATTACTTATTGGGTTTATTTTAATTGTTCTGTAATCGGAAACAATTGATGTTTCATTACCCTGAAAAATACAAAAATATATTTTCATTATTCTTTATACAATTTTAGATCTATTTATTTTTTTTTCTTTTTTTTTATTCTAAAATAAAATTACACACGATTTAATAATAAATTGTATTATCTAATGTTGTGATTGAATATATTAATTCCGAAACTGTGCATTTACGATTTTCCGCATTTTATGTGACGTAATTGAAGAATAAATTTTCTACCTACATAAATATTATAAATATAACAATACTGTGAATGTCACATTTTTACACAATCCGATTTTCATATTATACTTGAAAATTAAAAGTAGAGTTATTATTAATATAAACAAATTAGTAAAAAACTATATTTCAAGATACAATTTTTTTTAGTAAAGAATGTCGTCTGTATGAAAATTATATTTTCAGTATTTTTAATTAACAGTGAAATTTTCATATAAAAAAATCTCAACTAAAAAATTTTTTATCTATACGAAAGTTTTGAATAATATTTAGCATTGCTGTTGATGAAATCGTAAAACATTAATATTTTGTTTTCGAAATATATTGTAATATATAAAATACAAACAGCTTACCCTTATAGGAATATAAAAGTAGGGTTTCATTTAAGTAAGTAAAAATTTCAATAGAAAATTTAGAATTATAAATAGCGTAATTAATTAAAAAATTCAATATAATTTTGGAAAGTTAAATTTTTCAAATGGGTTTTTTCATGTTTAACAAATGATTTGTGATGATAAACTGAGATGTTTTTATTGTCTCTATGCGTTAATAATTAACATCTAAGATTATAATTCATAATTAAATTTTCACACTTGGAACAATTGCTAGCTTTGTTTAAATATGACTTTCAATAGAATCTTTTATTATAATTGTCAATACATATATATGATATATTTATGATAATTATAATTTTTTATGATCTTAATTTTTTTTATTTCTGGTAGAGAAAATTAATTAAAAGTTCTTTTTGATAAAATAAACCTTGAAATGAAACACGATTTGGGGAAATAATAATAAAACACTTATCAAATTCATGATGCGGATATTTCCGAAAATTTTTTTTTTTCGTTAAACAAACTCTTTGTCATATTTACTGATCGATAGATCAAGTATTTTTTTTTTAGATTTAACAATGGCAATAGTGATAAATTATTGCTTACAAAATGATATAATATTATCTTTTGTGGATGTAAGGATGATTCCTCTTTATATCTGTTTAATTTAGAAAAACTCAAAAGATATAAAATAAATTGCGATTCAATGTTTAATGATTAAAAATGTTTGAAAACGAAATATATATATATTGATTAACTTCATATTTTATTGAAGTAATTTTATCTTTTTTTTCAAATATAAAGCGTTTACATGTACCTACAACAGGTAATATTTTACAAGAAATAATAAAAAATTAAACAAAATTCTTTTCATTTTGTATTCTGGAAACATGATTTGCGAAAATAATATAATTTTTTAAAATTAGTTCTTTTAGTCGAAATATAATATGAATTATAATAATTTCTATTATGTAAGGTGTTTTAAAAAATAAAACCAACAGAATTTACTGGGAATATTAAAAAAGCGCTATATTCAAGGTCTTTTAAATTTAAAAACTATTATAAAAATGACTTTTACAATATACTGTATCTATAATCATAATAATTTCAAAATTAAATTTTCTTTATATATATTTTGTTCATATAAAAAAATATTAGGTTTTTAATTTATTTTAAATTAAATATTAATGACCTTAAAAAAGTATTACTTTTAGAAAAATCATTAACAAAATTATAAAAGATTAAAAAAATAATTTTAAAAAAGAATGTTATTTAACATAAAAAATTGTCATTTTTGTTAAAGTCATATTTCATTTTTAAATGTTTAAAATCATTTTTTTAAATCTACAATATTTTGAATAAAAACTTACCATTGATTTTCAAATTTAATCTTCAATTTTTTTTTAAACAATCAAATATTTTACACACAAAAAACACTGAATCTAAACACTAATTTTAAGTATATTAAAATTTTTTACTTATATCATTTATATTGTCGTTATTAAAACCATTAAAGTCAGTTAAAGAAAGTTGATCTTTTTCGTACTTGCATCTTGAGCCGATTTCTTTCATGATTTAAATAAATACCTAATTGTTTACACAAAATAATTAATAATTATTATTATTGTTTATTGAAAGTGTATTTTAGTGGTGCTTTCGGGTCATGGAATAAAAGAAGTGTCTTTTTTATTCGATTATCAATGAAAATTTATTCTAAAAATATAAGTTTATATATTGTTTTTTTTCAATATCTTCCATTAATTTATAATAATTTGTAATATAGATTAACAATAATATGATTATATAAAAAAATTGATGATATCGAATTGCCTCAGTTTTTATTTGAAACTCCTCAAAGAAACATCGAGACAAAACGCATCTCAAAAATATTTTTCAAAAGTAAAATCACATTATTTTCAATCTACATTATAAATTATTATAAATTAATTTAGATATTACCAAAAAAAAAAAAAAAAAAAAATGCATAAACTTACATATTTAGAATAAATTTCGGTGATTAAGACCGAAAAGTTAGGATAAAAAAGACACTTCTTTTATTCCTTAATCCTAAACCCACTAAAACTACACTGTCGATAAATTTCATCACTGAATTATAAAAACTACATAATTTTCAATAATGTTTGTTATTGATAAATTATAAAACACACATTTTTGTTTAATTATTTAAGAAAAAATATTTTTTCTATTAAAATAATTAAAAAAAAGTTAGAAAAGTTTGTTTATTTGTATACGAATTCTTGATTTAAACGTTGAGATGATCACCGACTCGTTGTTCACAGACAATTAATGTCGCGTATTTATCCTTTTAACATAAGGGATCAATTTCTTTATCGTTCGGCACATCTATAAGCACTCGCTGTTATACCTATGAGTAGTTATACGGAAACGATAATTGTACACGAGGTGGAAGTCCATGAGATAAGGATAAGTAGAAAAGCCATTGTATATAATTCAAATAACTAAAAGTTAAGTATCGCTTAATGTTTATTTTTTCGCAAAATAATTTTTCTACAAGAATTATTATAAATTGTCATAAAAATATTAATGATTGTTAACTATATATAGCGAAATTAAAAAAACAATAATAATTTCAAATCTGATTTTTAAATAATTAAAAATTAATCACATCTAAAATTTTAATAGAAAATAATTTTTTTTCGAAATTATTTTCTTATTGCGTTTTATTTTTAGTTTCCAAATAATAATTTTTGTATTCTTTTATCTATATAGAAAATTAGATATAAAAATCATATAATGTTGAGATTTTTCGATTCGATAAAAATTATTATTAATGTCTATATTGGGTTAGTGACATTGCGGTGTGCTGTGATTTGCTTTAATATAAATTCGAAGAAAAATGTTTCACAAAAACTATAGAAACTAGATTTAAAACGATAGGAATATTTTGATGACTCAAGCTTTATAGTTTACCTGTTTTCTTAAGTCTTATTAAAATTCAATAATGTATTGATGTAAATATTTATTGCACTTTGCATTAATTATCTACACTACTTGAAATAAAAATAAATTATTTCAATATCATTTCATCTAACAGTTGTTAATTGATTTAAAATTAACAACTTGCTTATAGCATTGTTGAATGATTATCTCACTTTTTTCTCGAATAAAATCATTATATTTTAAAAAAGAAATACAATTTATTGTTATGGCAAATTTTTGTGTATTAAAAAACATATATATGTATAGTTACTTGCTATTATTTATTATATGAAGGTTTTATGAATGTGATAATCACAATCACCATATTATTATATGTTATCTTTCTTTTACTGAAAAAAACTAAAGTGTAAAATACATTTTCCTTATATTAAAATTCGTCTTAGTCTGAAATATTCACTTTTTGATTCTATTTACTTAATTAAAAAAAAAATTAAGGGTCATTCTCACAAAAAGCACAAACGACACGTTCATGACATTATTTTTAATAAATAATTATAATAATTGAAAATGTTGCGGGCCTAACTATAGAAGTTGAAAAATTGAAAATTTCAAATAATTGAATATAATCATGTTTATATAGTGTCAAACTCCCCTCCGTTACGAAGCTGAAGTACGCAACGTTTATGATAAACGATTTTTAAAGAAATAATTTTTTAAAATGAAAAATTCTATAATTTTTTGCATAAAAAATATTTCTTGTAGTTTTCACTAATCAACAAATTATAAAAAAATATTTTTTAAACAAAAAATTATTAAAAATTTTGATTTTAAAAAACTATTTCTTTAAAAATCGTTTATCATAAACGTTGCGTACTTCAGCTTCGTTCTCCGTTACCGTTCGCGAAGTAAATTAAAAATTTAAATATCTATATTAATAAAATTAGACTTTTGTCTGTACATTGCTTAGAATTTAAAAATTCATGTATAATTCTTCGTTTCAAGTCATAAGGATTCTAAAAATAGCATTAAAAAAAATTCTGTCTGTCTGTCTGTCTGTCTGCACAATATTTTGTTCGCCAATCACGCATAAACGGCTTGACCGATTTAAGTAAAACTTGGCAGTCTTTTAAGTATTAGACTAACTTAAAATCTTAGCCATACCCCATTTAAAAATTTTAACTTGAACGGAAGTTATGGCACTTTTTGTAAAAATCGAAATTTTAAAATTTTTTATTTTTTCGCTTATTTTTACTAGACTTTTTTTTAGAAGTTTTTTGAGGTTAATTAATCGCATTTTTACCTTAAAATTGATAAAATAACTGATAGATTTTAAATTGTGAAGAAAAATTCCAAAAATCAAATTTTTAAATTTAATTTCTGTTATATTTTACTAAATCTTTTTTAGCTATGTTTTTGAGTCAAATTAATCAAATTTTAACTTTAGAATTAAAAAACATGACAAATATAAAGAAATGAAAAAATGTTTTTTTAGTAACAACCTTTTTATAATTATTGTTTTCCGGTTATAGATTTTTATTTTAATATTATAGTTTAAATAATATTAAAAAATTTTAAGTTGTAAAAAAAGTATAAGAAATTAAAATTTGAAAATAATTATTTAAATAAAATTTTATAATGCTGTTTCGATTTTGTCTCAACTGATTATTTGCTAACTTCATTCCCGCAATTGACTGTCTTATTTTGTGAACACGTTTGACAGATGTTTATGGAAAGAAGCAAGGAAATCGATACAGATAAAAACAATTAATTATAATCGATAATAATTATTAATATATAATAATAATAATAATAAAAAAATCAATTAATATTAAATCAAATATTTTAAGCCATCGACTATAGAAAGATTATTTTTCAGGTATTTAAAATAAAAAATTTAAAAAAATTTTTGACATTCATTTTGATAATATTTCTTTTTGTCATTTTATAATTTTTTTAACAAGCATTCTAATTATCTTCAAAAATACATTTAAAAAATTTAACATCTATGTTAAATTTTTTAAATGTATTTTTGAAGATAATTAGAATGCTTAGTTTAAAAAGAAATTAATTTCTAAAATTTAAAAAAAATATTTTTTAATTTGTAATAATTTTTTATAATTATATTTTATTCTTTAAATATCTTTTTAAAATTGTTTATTTGCGAAATTTAAAGAAAATTTAATACAGGTTTAAATAAAAAGGGTTTAATAGTAACCTATATTTTTTTGGGAATTTATAAAATTTTTAAAAAATTTTTAATTTTGTGGTAATTTTTGATGATTAAATTTCATTTTTTAAATTAATTAAAAAAATTTTTTAAAATAATAATCTGTATTGTCTTATGAAATTGTATATTTTAGAAAAATATTTTTTAATATAAATGTTTTAATTTAATATTAATATTTTTTAAATTAAATTAAATTTAATAAATTAAAATTTTTTTAATATAATAATTAAAAATAAAAGGTTAGTAGGGTCAACCGGGGTAAATCCGAACGCTTTTAGTAAGTTTCAACAATAATATAAGTTTTTTCTTTAAAAAAAAAATACTTCCGGTATTCTGGTGCATGAAGTTGTTACTTTACTTCCATAGAACAATTTTATGGGGTAGCAAAAATTTTTGATAAATTACAATCGCAGGAAACTTAGCGTTCGTATTTACCTCGATACTTTGCAACTTTCCTAAAATACCGGGGTAAATACGAACGCCACTGTATTTCAGAAAAATCTTAGGGAAAATAAATTTAAAGTATTGCAATTGTTAAACTTATATAAAAACTCAAAAAAAATACGATAATAAACCTATTATGCAATAATGCATCATATATAAATACAAAAATCAAACAGGTTAAAAATTAAAATGCATTACACAATTAAAACCTTCAATAACTTTATCAAATCATAACGGATTTTTGCAAAACTTGGTAAAGAAAGTATTTTGGAGTGATTGAATGTAAATACAAAAATAAAAGTCAAATTTTTTATATTCAAAATGGCGGACTTTCCTAAAACTTATTTTTAAAAATGATCAAATTTGCTAACTCCAAATTCGTAATCAGCGACCCTGAAACCCCCGAGTAACAATTTTCGACCGAATCAAATGAATTTTTAAATTCTCGTCCGCCATTTTGAATTTTGAAAAACTGACTTCAAATTGGTAATTAGCGACCCCAAAAACCGTAGAATACCAAATTTTATTAAGATCCTGAAAAACTTTTTTCAACAAACCATTTGGCAAAAAAATTGAAACACTCCTTCGAGAGAACAGAGATTAAGTTTCTGCTTATTAATTACTAACGAGGATACGTATAGAAAGAAAAACTTTTTTCTATGTACTTTTATAATGTTAAAATAATAGTGTAATCAAATAAAAACAATTTTGTGTGCCTTTGATGTAAAAAAAAATTATTAAAAATACCGTTCGGATTTACCCCAGTTTTCCAATTTTCTTGGGTAAATACGAACGGTCTGATATTATTAATAAAATTTTACAGAAGGCAAAAATCAAATATAGTTTCTGTTCTAGTATTCATAACAAACAATTATAAATAATAAAATGAATTTTTAGCTTCTTTTTCTTCAAATACGAGACAAAATACTGAAAGAGTGTCATCTTTGATTTTCAATCTTTTTTGCAATACTTGTTATCTTTGTTTATGCTGTTGCTAATTAACAAACAAAAAATGGGATAATACTTAGAATCTCTTCAAGAGGATCTGAGGTAAAAATTCTCATATCGAACTTATTTTTAAAAATTTTAATTAAGCTGAAATAATTAGCGTTCGGATTTACCCCCGTTCGGATTTACCCCGGCTGACCCTATATTTTTAGTATGTGTTTTTTAGATTTAAAATTTTAAACAATTTTAAAATTTAACAAATTTGTGAAATTATTAGTTCAAGTTTTTAATAACAATCAACTATTTATACAAAAAATTATTTGCACGAAATTATGTTGGGCGCACACCACTAGATTTCGCTCCCGCCGAAGGCGGGTACGAAAGCTAGTTAATAATAAAGTTTAAAAAAATCAAATGAAATTGTTCCTTCAAGATTTTCGTCTGCTGATTACGAATTTCAAGTCCGTTTTCAAAAATTCAAAATGGCGGATCCAATATGGCGGAAACCATTCTTAAAAATCGATTCAATTGACCTGAAACTGGTTACTCAGGGGTTTTTGTGGTCGCTGATTACGAATCTAAGGTCCGTTTTTAAAAATTCAGAATGGCGGATCCAATATGGCGGACGACACTTTTAAAAATCCATCCAATTTAAAAGATAGTCGTCCGCCATTGGGAATTTTTTAAAACTGATTCCAGATTCGTAATCAGCGACCCTAAAAACCCCTGAATAAAAATTTTCAAGTAAACTGGATAAATTTTTGAAATTGTCTGCCATATTGGATCCGCCATTTTGAATTTTGAAAAACTAACACCAGATTCGTGTTCAGCGA